ACACTCAGCAGTCTGTCTGTGTGTGTGTATTTAGCAGTCTGTGTGTGTATTCAGCAGACTGTGTACTCAGCAGTCTGCTAAATACAGACAGACTAAGTACACAGACAGACTGCTAACTACACATACAGACAGACTGCCGAGCACACACACAAACTGCTTAATACACACACAGAGATGTTAATTAGTTCGGACAACTGTATGAGTTGTTTTTTCTAAACTTAAACCTCAGTATTCAGGTTTAAATGCCGTTTTGGCACTTTGAGGGAAAACAAATTGGCATGTATTACGGTTTGGGCACTCGGGCTCAAAAAGGTTCGCCATCACTGGTCTAGGGAGACTAAATATGGCACTTACTGACAGCGGGAGCCCCAGGTATTGACTGATACCTTGGTCTCCAGGTGTGAGCAGAGAGTTAATCCTTCAACACCACGTTGCAGAAATAGACATTTAAATGTCTATTTAAAGAGCTGTATGCCCTGGTTAGTCTGTACACCACATCCAGCTGATCTGTCAGTTTGGGGACATGCGGCAATGTACCTTAACAGAAATAAAGCCCAATGAAATAATTAGGATGTAACGATGCATTCCAACATCGTTCACCTGATGGCAAAATTCCAATAATACTTTGATGATACTTATCAAAACATCTTTATTACCTTTGGGGCAAGATGCCTTTGGACTGTAAATCCTGACCACAAGTGTTACTCATCTTGTCTACATGGGTTACAATGTGTATATTTCTGTGCATTCCAATTCCTATCATTTGCATACAATTCAATGGCAAGACAAAAAAAAAAAAAAACAACAAAATTTCAATCTAATTATATTTAAATAACACACTATGCTGAGCACCGTGAGTTAACAAAAATAAAATCTAAACATTTATCAATATATTGGTATCAGAGACTTAATAATGGTTTACCTTCAGGTCAGGTTAAAGGGGAATTATTTTTAAACATGACTTATCTAAAATGGTATTCCTACACCACCCCTTAACTTACTTATCTAGTATCACATGTGTATTATATTAAGTGTAATGCTACTAGTCAGGTTTTAAAATTACTCGCCGATTCAAGCCTGGAGGATCCATGGCACACTTACCAGGGCTAGATTTTCACTTGCCAATTACTAGAGTTAAGTAGAAATTGCGAGCCCTGCCCTCACCATTAGCCAATGATTTTTTTTTTTAGTTAGTCATACCAACCCGTGATAACTGAGCCACAAATTGTACAGAAAGATTTAGATGGGATTTTGAAATGTGGATGTATAAAAATTTTCTAACCAAGTTTTATTAAAAACAATTGGAATTGGTGTGGCAAAGACTTTTAAATCATTGTATGGCTAAAATTGTGTAGACAAGCCTAATTATTGAGTTTGGGTGTTTCCACCTCACCCATTGCTAACCGGTGTGGAAAATCCAAAATCCAAATGGACTAACACAGGAAGTACGATGGAGGTTGTACTGAAGAGCTCAGACACTTTAAATGTAGCAAATCTGTCTCCTCAGCAAAGGTGTGGGGATGTTCTCAGAATCACAGACTTCTTGAGCCTGGATGAATGCGTGGTAACCTGTTTGGACAATGACTGAGTGTGGCTCAGTTCAGTCACCTTTTGTATTCTCAGAGATCTGGCTTCCAGAAGATCACCCATTTATTACAGGTGAGCTTGGAAGTCTGCTGTTTCTGTTGACAAAAGCCAGTGGGTCAACAGTCATGCCTGTAGGGAGAACTCCTCTAAAGAGCATCGTTCCGCCATACGTTAAAAGTACTATGGCAGAGAAAAAGAGGTTGTTTTCTTCAATTATAGAGGTATAATGCTACATTAAAAAATCTTGTCGTTTCTTGAACCCCACTAGAGACCACTCAATGTAGGGTAAGGTTGCAGAGCTTTGACCATTGTTTAGGTGTTCTTATGTTTATTTTGTGTACATGTTGGGGAAGTTATTTTTAAAAAATTTTGGTACAATGATTATAGAGTTGGTATAAACATTTTTTCCAGGGTTTTTTCTTCACAGTCAAGATTACATTTAAGTTTCAACTTGTGACAATTGTTTCACTCCCCCATTGTAGATTTCAGGTGTGGCGCAATTCCATTATTTTTTCCATGCAACAACCACTAGTAACATGGATTTACCGGACTGCACGATAGGCCAAAGTCAGTAAATTCCATTCCATGCATCCTCAAGGTGCCACTTGGGCTCAAGCATCTTAAAATTAATCCAACAAAACACACTAACTCCAGTCAAACTATGAATTCCATGGTTTTCAGAATCCTGTCACTCTTGGGCTTGTCTTGAAGTGCAGCACACAAGCCTGGGCCTTTCTCCCGTGATAGAAGGTAATTTTCTTGATCTTGATTATTAGGCCTTGACTCTGGATTTGTGCTCATAGTGTCTTAGTTGAAAGGTTGAGTACAGGATGTCATGGGGGGGGGAGGGGGGAAACCAACTAAAAACACAACAACTTGGCAATAGAAGTTTGTAAGTAATATAAACAGAGTAGGAGATAAGTCTTACCACTGGGAATAGGGACAGACAGCACTCGAGTAGGAAATAAGTATAGAAGGTAGGTAAATAAATGGATTGTGTGACAACCCATTAGGAGAAGGTTAGGCTACTGCTGAAAGAGCAATGGCCAATAGAAGGGGGAAGTGAAAGATAAACTAGAAGTTGGAGAAGAATGTAGTCAGATATATAGATCAGGGAAGTAAGTAACATACAGATACACACAGGTATACGTGCTTTTGAGGGTCATGCATCACTTGACAATTCATTTTTTTAAACCTGCTAACATGTTTAAAAAAAAAAAAAAAACAACAATATAAAACAAGGAAAAAAACGTATATATGTAAAATATGTAATAAACATTTATAAACTTACATAAAAAAACCTTTGTCAGATTGCACTGTTGGTCATTGCTCTAAAATAGTTCAATGCATTTTTCCAGCATTCTTAAGGAGAAGACACTGATAGGTTCAATCAGTATCCCCATTGTAGTGGGTGTGAAAGAAAGAAGCAGATAACATGTAAGAAAAAAAAAATCATATTTACCTGCTTTTTGAAGCCTGCATAGTGAGGCAATTGTCTCATTCAAAGCTAAAGCGTTTGAATGAGACAGGTCTCAAAATGATACTTATTCCTTTGAGAGGGGAAAAAAAACATTTCAACACTTTCAGACATGTTAAAAACACCTTTTGGTCTATATAAATACGCAGCTGCACTATGTTCCAGAATTATTATTTAACAAATGAAAGTAGTAGCATGGTTCCTTTGGGACTCTTATCACATAATAGACACTACTCATTCACCTTCTCTGAAAGCGTTTGGTTTAACAGACAATTTGTGTTGGGGAGTTTTCGGTCATCAATCATAGCCAACTAAACTATTGCCCTTGACCCAATCCTGTACATGTGAAGGTTAAAAGCAAATATATTAAGCCTATTAATACACCTCAATGTATGTAACAGAGGCCACACAACCAGAACTACATGCTTTAAACCAATCACGGCAGATTATTTGCCAGCAGACTGTCATCCAAAAAGGTATTGTCATAACCCATGGTTATGAAGGGATTATAAGTGCAAATACAGTAACACCAAGTCAACATTATAATACCCTTTTGCATGGATATGTGCCCTGTTTATAGCTGTGAACATCAAGATTAGTATTCAATTAGATATTCAATGACCCTATTGCAATTGGCTAAATTCTTTGCTTTAAAAGGCACTATACTAAAGATATAATGCATCAACGAAACAATATGGAAAATACACAAAAATATATAAAGGCACATCCCATGCCCTTAAAAATCTTTAGGAAGTTTACAGCTTTGTTACAGGTTTATCAATATGGAATTAGGCACAAAAATGGATTTCATTGCATATTTACTTCAAACAAACAAATGGGAGGGTGAATATGGTGTAGTTAAAAAGCACCTACCAATCATATCACAAACTTCATGTGCAAATAGAAATAAAAATTGTAGGCAGAAAAATAAACGTTGAACAATATACATTGTTTCTTTAAATCTTAAACTGGCTTTTAAACTAATCCAGCCTTAATTCAGTGCAAAAAGAAAACCAAGATTTAAACCATAATAAAAAAAATTATTCAAAGTCTTTGATCTTCATTTTTTATGTAAACAGCTAAGTAACCAGTAAAGTTCTAGGGAGCCATGTTGTTGCCACTGCAATACGAGGATTTGAATTTATTTCTGCTATAGCCCCCCCCCCAAAACATGTGGTTTTAAAGGCAATAGAACACTAAAGCTAAGTAAGATTCACAAATCACTGATTACCTTGATTTTTTTTTTTTTATTGAAAGTGGACAATTCTTGCAAAATATTTCTTGTCAAGGCCACCAAAAATGGGAAGTATGACCCGATTCAAATGGACCCGATCAGCTAATTCACAATTACACTTTAATGCTAGACCAAATCAAGTCTGGCTAAATATTTAACATATTTACAAATCCTGCTTAACAACCTTCTTTTAGCTTAATATATACGAGTACCCCTAAAGCTGTCCTAATTGACAATCCTGGAGTAACCCATTCCTGACTTTTGTTGTCATGTCCATGATGAACATTTTTTTTTTTTTTTTACCAAGAAGTTTCTGCTATGTTCTTAGTCAGCAGATGGATTTAGTGGCAAAGCAGACTGCTATTAAAGTAATCAATATCTTCATTTTATAGAATGTAAATATCAACAAGCACACTGACTGATATTTACCAACAAGATGGTACCCACTAAGCAAAATAACCTACAAATGGTGAACAGCAGCAGTCTTGAATTGCATTTCAGTCTTCCCAATGACTCTGCATTTCTGTTTTACTGAAAATAAAACTTGGGTAGTTTTATAAATAATAGGAAGACTTAAAGCCAAAGGGAGCATTTTCAGGGTACACTGGTTCCAATTATGCCGCCTATGTATACTTTATTTTTGCTGGTCTTATTCTGAGCAAATGGTTAATCAATGTGCAACTACCAGTCTTTCCTTGCATCAAATAATTAAGCTCATGGTCCACTGCTTGCTGATAAAGTTTCTTTTCCTCTGAGACACCAGCTAATTGTAGCAGTGAGAAGCACTGTTTTGGCCAGGTAAATGTCCTTTTCCTATATGTAATCATCTTCCACAGGCTCTCCGTTAACATCACAATAGTGAATAAAGATAGCCACAACACGTTGAAAAATACCCCTTTTCATTTGCCGCAGTTCTGATATCTCCTCGCCAATTGTTTCCATGCAAATGTCAGCTGAAAGTTGCCCTTTCCTTCGTGGTGCATAAATGGTAGCTAAAAACAAAAAAACAAACAAAAAAAAACCATCACAAACACATGATAAAAACCATCAATGACTGTATGTTGCTGGTGTTCAAACAAAAAAATGCACGTTAAAAGGAATTGTCACTTTTTCTGGAATTTTTTTATTTTTTTTTTTAATTTGAAGCTCTGTTTTCTTTTTATTATACTAGTAAAAGATTTAGCAAATTACATTACAATCTATGTGCAACAAGGAACAGCTATGGCACACAATGCAAATCAGAAGTGGAAAGAGAAACAAACACTCTTTAAAGGGACATTCTAAGCACCAAATCAACTTGAGCTTTATTTAGGTAGCTTTGGTGTAGGCACCATGCCAATGCAGTGTAAATGGTCAATTATCTGCCATTTATTTGTCAAATGAATTAGTTTATGCAACCCTAGACACACATACCCCGACTCACACAGCCACTCTACACAATTCCAAAAAAAATTAAAAAATATCTAAACTTTTTTAACAGCAACAGAGATTAATTAACAGAGCAGGAGTCAACTTCTAAAGTAAAAACACTGTGCTGCTTAAAATCTGATTGAAAATATTTTTTTTGCCCATGGAAAAATGTGAATCGCAACCAGGGGAGGTGTGGGTAGGATTGCATAAGCAGGAACAAAAGGGATTTAATTCTTAAATGTTAAGGAATTGAGCAGTGACATTGCAGAGGCCTGATGTATACACCAAAACTGATTCCTGAAGTTACATTTCTGGTGCCTATTGTGTCCCTTTATTTCTCTCCTCTTCTCTGTACGTGTTCTTCATACTGACTGTCATGCAAAAGCTGAACTATGCAAAGGTTTATGATGCATACACAGCTGTCCCATCAAAACAATAGGAGGATTAGGATGAGCCAAGAGGTCTCTGTAAATGCCACAGAAGAAGCAGCAGATCAGCTAAGTATTCAGAATTTTAGATTTGCTGCATCTGATTTGCTTTATAGACGCTATAAAATTATGTTACAGCTAGCTTTGCTTCAGAAAAACAAAAAGAGCCAAACATCCAGAAAAGTGATAACAGTTATTTATGAGGATAAGACTAATTAGTAATATGGATTTTGCAGGAAGACCGTTTCTTTTTAAAGGATAATATCTCTCCTTGTGCTGGTAACTAGCACTTATATGCCTATTCAATGCCCTGGAAATTATGTGTAAGGGAGGACTGGCTGTAGCAGAACTGTGCATTTATCTAGGACTGCAAAATTATGGATGTTTTAGTGCATAGGAGTGATGAAGATTGTATCTCTGCATACTATTGCTGTGATTTTGTAAAAATAAAAATAAATAAATGTAATTTCAAATAAACTAGCTTGCTATAACATATCAGATCATCATAAAATAAAGAATATAAACATGCAAATTAGCATTGCCATTTAATAGAAAGCATAATTAACAGTTGTATCTTACTTTTTTCGTCATCTTCAAAGTCATATCTGGCATAACTGTTTGGTTCTGCTGTCCTGAGTGAGCGCAGCCATGGGAAATCTGTGATCATAGAGTAAGGGGCACCATCTACAACACCTAAAGAAAATGGTGACAAAAAAAAGCATTACTCTGATGCCGGTTTATCGATCGTCCTTCCTTGCACAACTTTTGGTAGGTACTAGCCACTACATACCAGGAACACCACACAAGACTAGTTGTTCTGTAGATGCTCTGACCCAGGCATCTTAATCTTCACTAATTGGTCTTTGTCAAAGTCACTCAGATATTTTCACTTGACCATTTTTTATGCTTCCAACACATAAAAATTCAAGAACTTATGTTCCTAATATATCCCACCCCTTGACAGGTGCCATTTCATCTGTCAATGGTTTCAACACAATATATGGAAAAAAGCATTGGGACAAACCTCTTAATTATTGAATTCACGTGCGACAATCAGACCCATTGTCACAGGTGTATAAAATCAAGTAACTAATCATGCCGTCTGCATTTTCAAACATTTGTGAAAAAAAATGGATCCTTCTGAAGAGCTCAGTGAATTCAAGCGTGGGACTGTGATGGGATGCTACCTTTGCAATAAGTCAGTTTGTGAAATTTCATCTTTGCTAGAGCCCAGGGCAGAGAACGAGCAGGGAGAGCCCGGGGCAGAGAACGAGCAGGGAGAGCCTGGGGCAGAAAAACGAGCAGGGAGAGCCCGGGGCAGAAAAACGAGCAGGGAGAGCCCGGGGCAGAAAAACGAGCAGGGAGAGCCCGGGGCAGAAAAACGAGCAGGGAGAGTCCGGGGCAGAGGAAAATGGGACATTTCACACATATGAGGGGTACCATTTATGGAAAGCGCTGCCAAGGGGTACAAGTGAAAACAGGTTGGGAACCACTGCTCTAGTCTATAGGATTTCAGGCCCTTCAATACAGGCCACTATAGCTCCCCTCAGGTATGATAGACATTACCGACAGATGTCTGAACCTGGTTATTGTTGGCTTATATTTAGGGGACAGAGATCCTGTTGCAGGTTTATTTTTGAAAAGGTTTTAGTTCATTATTCTAGCTGATAACCTTTAATTATGATTTAAAATAATTCAGAGTCCAAAGACTCAAAAGGGCACTACATAAATGCAGAATAAATAAGAGAATGACATAAATAATGTATGTGTATTGAGTAAATATTACAGAAATAAAAACAAGGAAGCAATCGTACCAACAGAATAATGATGTGAGGAATGGCAGCAAAGTTGTGCCCGGTGGAATGAATGGGTGTACGGATGAATAACAATTTCCAGCAATTCCTTTACCGATTATATACAATTTTCTTTCTCCCAAAAAAACTACAGTGTCTCTAACTTGTTCCCTGCTATATGAAGTAAAAATACTGCTTCGAATAAAGTGTCACTAAGCATTTTTTTTCTTACTTTGTTTTCTTAAGGAAATATTTTTATAACAATAGGAAAAACCCCACAAATGTTTAATACCTTCCAGAGTGTAAATATCTCGACCCCAGGGGTACTTTGTATATTTCTTAACATCCTCCTCAGTCCGAGTAGCTTCAGGAAAGAATTCATACTTAATAAGTTCCCTAAAGAAATACAGGAAAAAAAATAAAAATCAATATTAATTTATTATTTTCTAAAAATGTTGCTGTCATTATTAGCATTTAGAAAATGTAGAGAGGTTTGGTGGATAGTATTGCAGATTATGTAACACAGGACAAAATATTATTGTCCCAACAGTGATCAATGTATTTGATTGAACAGAATCCAAAAGATTAGGGTTTACCTATTAAATGTAATTTTAATGTGGAGGAAACCTATGCAAATTGTGGATAAGCGCGGATAAACTTCAGTTTCATATAATTTAAGATTCAACTGATTTATACGCAACTGTAATTCAAAAATCATAGAGCAAAATGGTATAAAGCAAATAAGTCTAGTATAAACATTAAATGTTCTATAAATGCAGTGATGTACGCACAGATGTACATCTTTATAAGTACGCAAATCGAATTTACACTTGTCATGTGAGACACAAAAGTGAGCATAACAATCGTAAGTGTGAGAATATGAATTAACATGCTTACTGATTGACGTTCGCTATAGTATCCATCCAGCTCCGAACACGGACTTTATTTCTGACGTTAGGAGGATTGCTAAATTCATGTATGATACATATATGATATGGGTATGGTCCACTAAACATCTTCCTTTCCAATGTTAATGTGTCTACCTGCGGTAAAACAACAAGACAACACATTAGCTTTTTGAAACTTAACCCCGTCAATACCCAAATAGAGAATAAATGTTTATATTGTCATGTATTTTGCATACATGTAATTATTATGACTTAAAGGTAGGCAGACAATGTACCGTATATACTCAAGTATAAGTTGACCCGAATATAAGTCGAGACCCCTAATTTTACCCCCAAAAAACTGGGAAAACGTATTGACTCGAGTATAAGACTAGAGTGGGAAATGCAGAAGCTACTGATAAATTTCTAAATAAAATTAGATCCCCCCCAAAAGTATATTAATTGAATATTTATTTACAGTGTGTGTATATAATGAATGCAGTGTGTGTGTGTGTATATAATGAATGCAGTGTGTGTGTGTGTGTATGAATGCATGCAGTGTGTGTGTGTATGAATGCATGCAGTGTGTGTGTGTATGTATATGAGTGCAGTGTGTGTGTGTATATATGAGTGCAGTGTGTGTGTGTGTATGAGTGCAATGTGTGTATGTGATGCAGAGCCTTGGTGGGGCATTTTATTATTTTTTGTAATTATTATTTGTTATATATATATATATATATATATATATATTTTTTTTTATTTTTTTATTTTTTTTTATTATTATTATTATTATTATTTAATTTTTTATTTATATTTATTTTCGACCCACCTCCCTGCTTGTTAGCTGGCCAGGGAGACTGGCTCTCATTCCCTGGTGGTCCAGTGGATGGGCTGTGTAGGAGGGGGGCTGACAGAGAGCTGTTACTTACCTTTCCTGCAGCTCCTGTCAGCTCCCTTCTCTCTCCTCTGTTCCGGTCAGCTCCCTTCTCCTCAACTGTAAGTCTTGCGGCCACGCGGAGCGTTCCCCACGGCTCTCGCAAGATTTACAGTGGAGCTGACCGGAACAGAGGAGAGAGAAGGGAGCTGACAGGAGCTGTAGGAAAGGTAAGTAACAGCTCTCTGCCAGCCCCCAACAGGACCGCCGGGCTTGTAATGAGCCCGGCGGTCCTGGTCTGTATTATGGCAATGTAAATTGCCATAATACAGACATTAACTAGAGTATAAGTTGGGTGGGGGTTTTTCAGCACAAAAAATGTGCTGAAAAACTCGACTTATACGGTAATAAAGCAGCAGGAAATGCTAGCAGAATGCTTGGTTGTATAGGGTAGTATTCGCAGTAGAAAGAGGGAAGTGCTCATGCCATTATACAGTACACTGGTGAGATCTCACTTGGAGTATTGTACGCAGTACTGGACACTGTACCTCCAGAAGGATATTGATACTTTAGAGAGAGTTCAGAGAAGGGCTACTAAACTGGTTCATGGATTACAGGATAAACCTTACAAGGACAGCTTAAAGGATCTTAACATGTATAGCTTGGAGGAAAGACGAAACAGGGGGATATGATAGAAACATTTAAATACATAAGGGGAATCAATGGAGTAAAGGAGGAGACTATATTTAAAAGAAGAAAAACTACCACAAAAAGAGGACATAGTCAAATTAGAGGGGCAAAGGTTTAAAAATAATATCAGGAAGTAATACTTTACTGAGAGGGTAGTGGATGCATGGAATAGCTTTCCAGCTGAAGTGGTTGAGGTTAACACAGTAAAGGAGTTTAAGCATGCGTGGGATAGGCATAATGCTATCCTAGATAAAAGATAAGACCAGGGACTAATGAAAATATTTAGAAAACTGGGCAGACTAGATGGGGCGAATGGTTCTTATCAGCCGTCACATTCTATGTTTCTATGTATTAAAAAAATAATAAAATAATTAAAAAAAGGCCATTAAGCCTAAACTCTAGTTATGAATAATGTTGTAGGGTAATATTTCTCTGTAAGAAATCACAAGTTACTGATAACATTACTGTAAATCAGGGCTTGACAAATTTGTTTGGAATCAAGGAGCCAGCTAAAAAAAAAGTGAGAAGCCATTTATTTTTTTAAACTAGCGAAATTTAATTTACGAGAAAGTTACAATTCTTAAAGGGACACTATAGTCACCAGAACCACTACAGCTTAATGTAGTGGTTCTGGTGTCTATAGCTTGCCCCTGTAGGCTTTTCAACAGGAAGTTTCAATGGTCATATTATTCATACAATCAGTGATGATGAAGGAGAGAGTGAACTCTACAATTTCACTGTGAGCAATACAATAGCAGTCCAGTGATTGATAAAAGTTGCTATAGCAATTTTACAAATATATAAATTTAACCATAACCGTACATTTTATTTATCTATTTGTTACACCAACTGTATGTGAGAACAAAATGCACTTTTGGGTTTTAAACTAATATTTCAGACACTGGAATATTTCAGACACTGGAATATTGTAAGATATAGAACGTTATATACAGTCTTAAGCTGTTCATTTCCCAAATATTTTTGTATGAGAATGAACAAATAAAAGAATAAGAAAAATAGCAAAACTTTACATAATTGTATTTTTTTTTCAAATTTGTCAGCCAAGCAATCTATACACAGAATTGTTGTGTTAAGTTATGTTTAAATGATGGCTATGCATCAATTGCTTCAAATAAACGTTATTCCAATAGCTTTTTCAATCAATCAAAAAGTGGTTGGTTATGAACCGTGTTAAAACAGATAGATGACATCAGGGTTTAATCAGGACAATAAAAGTTGCACTCCATGGATCAATTAATGCATTTAAAAATATTAAAAACCAGTCAATCCAAAATATTAAACGATAAATACATTAAAAATAAAAAGATATGCACATTCAAAGTTCATGGTTTTTGTGCAACTGTGCATATTCTGTTAGCATTTCCCAAACCAGGAAGTAGCTAGGCCAATCAGGAACCTTTTAGGAACCTCCTTGTTTGCAACTGTTAACTATGTTTAGTCTACAACTGTAAGGTTTAAAGTGCCCGCCCAGACACTTACTTTGCAGTGATTATAACTGTGCCTCACTAACACACACACAGATTAAAGAAGTCAAACTGCCTGTCTGTAAGCATGGTGTGTTTGGGGCTGCTGACTAAAAGCTTTTTGTGCAGTCTTGGTTCTAGCAGTGAATTATTTTTAGGATTTCCTATAAGGCTGATCATTCTACGATAGCTCCCAGAAACCTTTGCTGTTTTGCCAGATTATGTTATTAAACACTGCAGGTTAGGTGACAGACGAAAAGGAGTTGTGACTCACCTGTTGCATTGGGCGCAGATATATTATTCGATTTCTCTCTGGTGGCATCCTAAGAATTTGGTCCAGCACTTGTTCCATATTCAGCTTCTTACACTGAGCATAATCAAAGCGATTCACAATGGGAGCATTCTCTACTTTCAAATGTTTGAGAACTCGACATCGAGTAGCTGGAAATCACACCAAGGCAGAAAAAAAAAAATGTTAAAATCATGTTTCCTTTTGAATTAATGTTATATTCACTATAGACGCCTATAGAGTCCACAACACCACAACTTCCATAACAGTGTCTGGACATTATGGATGCAAATATGAGTAAGAGGAGGGTGTAAAGTATGAAGAGTAAAGCAGGGCTTGACAAATTTGCTTGGAATTTAGGAGCTAGCTAAAAAAAAAAAGTTTGGAACCAAGATTGACGATTTCAGCTATGGTAAGTCAGGCACGGCGCTGGAAAAAAAGTCAGTAAAAGCACCATTCCCATGCGATTGGAGGGGTCGGTCACCTAAACAGACAGACACACACACACTCACTGATACTTCAACAAGAACACATTTTCATATGTGCTCACAAATTATTTGTTTTATTTAAATTTGTGCACCGAGCCTCCCTACCTTTTCCTTGGGTCCAGTGCTGCTCTGATCATTTTCCTGCTCCCTCTCCAGAGTGACGTCCATCACTGGAGAGGGCGCAGAGCAGGAACATCATAGCTCCCTCACTCCTGCCTGCCTCAGCACTTCTTGCTACATAAGCCGTCTGCCCACCCACCTCTGCCCACCATGAGTCGCCTTCCGCCTCCCATCTTAGGCCACAGGTCACCTCAGGGGCAGAAGGGGCTCACACATCCCTGGCGCCTGGAATTTGTATAAAATTATATATAAAAATGAGACATGTCTATCCCCAGAAAAGATTGGGAAGGCCTTTAAAGGGACACTATAGTCACCAGAACTACAGCTTATTGAATGTGTTCTGGTGAGTAGAATCCTTCCCTTCAGCCTTTTTTCTGTAAGCATGGTCTTTTCAGAGAAAATGCAGCGATTACATTACAGCCTAATGATAACTTCACTGGCCACTTCTCAGATGGCTGTTAGAGATCTTTCCTGGGTCATTGCTGCCTAAAATGCCTCCAAACATTCAGTATCTCCTCCCTCTGCATGCAGACACTGAACTTTTCTCATTGAGATTCATTGATTCAATTCATCTCTATGAGGGGATGCTGATTGGCCAGGGCTGTGTTTGAATTGCGCTGGCTCTGTCCCTGATCTGCCTCCTTGACAGTCTCAGCCAATCCTATGGGGAAGCATTGTAATAAGATCAGGCCACCACTGCTGATGATGTCAGCATGCAGTGGGCTGGTCAAAATTAAACAGGGACAAAGCAAGCAGCTCCAGACTTGAATACAAGTAAAGATTTTACTATATTTAGGTAGGCAAGAGGGGACCAGGGGACTAGATGGTGGTTTCATCACTATAGGGTAAGGAATACATGTTTGTGTTCCTGACCCTATAGTCTTACTTTAATGACTATTATCATCAGCTATATAATCTGCCTTGTACTCAGAAATATCCTGTTGAATACTTCGGCAATAAGACTCTTCCGAAGATACAACTGAATGAATGAACCGAACCAATTACTTTAAATGAAATTCATACACAAATAAATCTATTGAAAAAAGATAAAGCCCCAGACACAGATGGGTTCACTGGTATTTTCTACAAATTATTCAAAACAGATAGTTCATCTTATCTAAAAAAGAATTTTTAATTAATTAGTTGAGTGGGTTTCTTTGCCTCACAACTCCAAATTCATGATCCATTATATGAGAAATCTTTTTTGCTAGAGCTACCTGCAATAAACCTAGAGCAGAATGTCCTAGACACTTTTTTACCCAACAAGGCATGTTTTACCCAACAAGGCATGTTCCCTAAAAGGGAATAGATCGTTCTATAAAGAGTTGTCGGGACAGATTATTGGATATATCTTTTTAGCAAAAATTTTTGATCTGATCAAGAGCTTTCCAAGCTGGTCAAGTGATAGATATCCATATTTTGAGAGCATGGATAAAATGAATGTGTTGCTTTTTAGGCAATACCAATGTAGCTGTAACCTCAGAGAGAAGACTAGCTGTCTTGATAAAGTTAGACCCGTAAAGGACCACTATAATGCCAGGAAAACAAACCGCCGAGCTCTAGGGGGAGGAAGGGGTTAAATTCTTACCTTTCTCCAGTGCCGGACTCCCTCGGCGCTGGAGACTCTCCTCCCTCTTCCGACTTCATCCGCTGAATGCGCAGTCCATTGGAAAGCATTTCTCATTGCTTTCCTATGGACGCTGGCATCTTCTCACTGTGAAAATCACAGTTTCTCTGAAACGGCTATGTTTACAGCAGGCAGGGTTAACCCTAGATAGACCTGGCACCCAGACCACTTCATTGAGCTGAAGTGGTCTGGTTGCCTATAATTGTCCTTTAATTAATCCAGAATGCCACAGAAGAACCTGATACTTCTGCAGATGGCCTTTAATTTGGTGACGAGTTTATAAAGAAAATAAATTTGTTGGAGTTTTCTCCTCTCTAGATAAGGCCCAATTATTCCTCAAAAAATGTTGTACATTACATAATATTTGGTAGGGATGGAAGAGGTCACTCTTTTTGCCGCAATTATTAGAGCAGCGCTACGGGATTTGTTGGCGCTATATAAATAATAAAATAATAATAATAATAATTAGGAGAGAAAAAAATTATAGAGGCCTCCATTCCAGTTACTGAGGCAGATCATACCTTGATTACAACTATTAATCACCCTTTTTTCCTCAAAGAGCGAGACCTTGGATATCAAAATGATCTAGAGGATTGTGTGAATCAAGAGTTTTCTGGTAAGTAGGATTAATTTTCCTTTTTCTCATATAAATCTGGGTCGCGGACTACTATGGGAAAGCATTGAATTGGCTAAAATTGTTAATTCTGATGAGCTCAGCCATGGAGCCTGAGCAATTGTCAGCGAACCTAAAAAAATCACACTATCGGGTCAGGAAAGTACAATTATATTCCTGATCCTTTTGTGTTCATTTAAAAATGAATAAATTGAAATCCTAAAATTTATACACTTAAAATCATTAAGATATCTTAATTCTTTCCAACTTTTAATTTATTTCCGTAAACTTTACCTGCTAGTATCTACTGCCACTATTGCTAGATGTTACAATTCACTCATTGAAATCCCACTTTTTGGAACTTATTTATCTTAGCTATGACCACTAAAGCATATCTTACTTGAGGTAGTCTTTATGACATCCTCAAAACAGCTGATTGGGTCTCCGGAATCCACAATTATTATTTATAAAATATTTTACCAGGAAAGATACATTGAGATTTCTCTCATTTTCAAGTATGTCCTGGGTCCACAAATCATTGCATTGTTACATTTAGGGTACAATAAAATACAAAAACAATATTAATACACAATAAATACAAAATTTAACAAATTTAAATATATAATCAACCATGACAGGTGCATTCTGTTTTGAGGTATGTAGAGAGGGATCTCTTAAAGGACTTTAGGCTTAGGGAAGATTTTAAATTGTGCGGGAGGTCGTTCCACAATTGCGGTGCTCTGTAGGAGGAGGAGTATCGGGCTGCTTTCTTTTTGTATTGAGGTAGACTAAGTAAAGTGTTGGTACTGGATCGGAGGTTATAGGAAGTGGGAACAGCTGAGGAAAGCATTGTGTTCAGGTAGGGTGGGAGTTTCCCAGAAAAGCTCTTAGGCTGGAAAGATGAAGGGTGCGTCTGGATTCCAGCGACAGCCAGTTTAGTTCTTTTAGCGTGTCACAATGGTGAGTCCTGTAATTACATTGTAGCACAAATCGGCAGAACGAGTTATACAATGTGTTGAGTTTATTAATGTGGGATTGCGATGCAGATGCATATACTACATCCCCATAATCAATGATTGGCATCAGCATTTGCAGTACAATCTTTTCCTTTACTGTAGGGCTTAGGCAGGATTTGTTTCTGTATAGGGCACCTAGTTTTGGATAAAGTTTAGATGCAGGCTTTTCTATGTGCAGGCCAAAAGATAGATTGGGGTCTAACATCATATCCAAGTATTTGAAAGAGTGGACTGCGGTCAGTGTGCCATTTGAATTTGTTTTGATAGATAGGTGGGAATAGTGTAATTTGTGCAATTTAGGTACTGTTCCAAAGATCATTGTGACAGTTTTGTCAGTGTTCAGGAAGAGTTTGTTTTTTGCGATCCACTTCTCTACCTCTGTAAACTGGTCTTGGAGCACAGCCTCAAGCTGCGGTAGATCGGAATTGCTTGCATAGATTACCGTGTCATCTGCGTACATGTGAGGATTTGCAGACATTAGGCAGATCATTTATAATGTAAATAGTAGGGAGCCGAGAATGGAACATTGGGGAACACCACACGTGACTGGGAGAGGGAGGGAGTCGCTATCAGAAATGGACACATATTGCGAGTGATCCGATACATACGATCGAAACCAGTTTAGCGAACCATCACCAATACCTGAGTTTTTGAGTTTATGCAGTAGAATGTCGTGGTCTACTGTATCAAAGGCCTTAGCAAAATCAAGGAAAATAGCTCCCGTTAGGTCTCCTTGTTCCATGCCAGTTTGGATGTCACTGCAAACTTTCAAGATGGCTATTGTAGTGGACTGATTCTGGCGATAGCCCGATTGATCAGGTGTCAGATAGTTTGATTGTTGGTAGTACTTACATAGTTGCGTATGGACACATTTTTCTAAGATTTTTGACAATACCGGGAGCAATGATATTGGGCGATAGTTAGAAACCAAAGTAGTGTCACCATTTTGATGGATAGGCACTACTCTTGCAGTCTTCCAAAGTTTGGGTATGTATCCAGACACCAAGGATTCGTTAATTAGAGTTGCGACGGGTTTAGCAATTGCCGGCGCACTGAGCTTCAACAACATTGCTGGGATTTGATCAGGTCCGGACTGGTTTTTCATTTTTAGATGTTTTTCAATGACACTAACAGGTACAGGTCTAAAAATGAACTAGTCGATATTGGGACTTTGCAAATTTAGTGGGACCTGATCCACATTTGTAGTTTCAGGATGCGTGTCATTTATTAGCTTGGCAATCAGGGCAGTAGAGCATCCGACAAAATAATTGTTAAAGGCATTTGCTACATCTAAGGGAAGTTGCAGGGTTTGGTTATCCACTTTGATAATGGAGGGTTGGGAGTGGTTGGGGGAGTTTGTAGTTTATTTATGACTTTCCAAAAGTTTCTAGGGTTTGAGATGTTATTGTTCAGATTTTCATAGAAATATTGGGCCTTGGACAATTTTGTCTGTTTTGTGCATATATTTCGCCATTGTCTATATGCATGGTGATCATTCAAAGAGCCAGTACGCTTAAACTTTGACCACAAAGAATCCCGAAACTGGTACATTTGGATGAGGTCAGCTGTGATTCAGTTCATATGTGCTCCTTTTACCCTCACCTTACGCAGCGGGGCATGCAAATTCCAAATTTGTAGGCGTTCAGACTGAAAGAATTCAACAGCACAGTCTGGGATAATTTTTAATCTGTGCCATGGGAGGTTCTTGATGTCCTTTAGAAAGGATTCAAGATTACATTTTTTGAAGGACCTAGTTATTTTAACTTTGGGAGTGGATTTAATAGCCTTTATTTTGCGCACGCAGTACACTAAACAGTGATCACTGAAAGTGTTTGGGAGAACACCGGCCTCCTGGATTCTATCAGGAGAAGTGGAGAGAATCCAATCTAGCAGGGTATGGTTATGGCTTTTAATGTTTATGCGAGTTGGGGAGGAGATTAATTGCGTTAGCTGCAAAGTCTTAAACAGCATGGAAGAACTATTATTTTTAGGATTCAGCCAATCAATATTAAAATCTCCAAAGACCAACAGTTCACTTTTAGGGTTTTGAGCTATGGTTTCACTAAGGAAATGGGCTATGTCAGAAAGGAAATGCACAGGGGAGCTAGGTGGGCGGTAGATTCCTGCAACAGAAGGCTACCGGTTTCAAATGGCCATGGAACAGCTGATGGACCGCTGAGTTCTATGCTGGACTGGGTATGCTTAAAAATCAGACTGTGGGAGAGAGATGTATATTAGGGTCAGATGGGCTAAGAGATGGGGGAGGGGGTGCATATATGGACATTTGATTTAAGGTCATTTAAGGAAAAACAAACGCTAAGACTGAGAATTACAGAGCTAAGAGAGAGGTATTTAAGTAAGGAAATAAAACCATTAAACAAGGAACAAGAAAGATATATGGGCCTGAGCTGGTTAAACTAATTTTTAACATGATGGACAAAGACAAAGGTGATAAAATACTTTGCATGATTAGCACAGGCTATAGTTACAAAGACATAAAAATGTGTACATTGAAAATAATAAAACTAAATAATAGTCACTAAATACAAAAACATACACATACAAGTGTATGTAGAAATATAATGAAATATCAGTCTTCCAGAAGGCTACCTGTTTCAAATGGCCATGGAACAGCTGATGGAGCTCTGAGTACTATGCTGGACTGGGTATGTTTAAAAATCAGACTGTTTCAAATGGCCATGGAACAGCTGATGGAGCTCTGAGTTCTATGCTGGACTGTAAACCTTCCCCTCATGAGACCACACACATGGATGCTCAAAACATTGGATGGATCATGAGGGATATGTATCATTATGACTGAAATCTTTGATAGAGTGAATGCAGTAATGTTTGGTAAATGTATATTCTTTTTCAGTGTGTTAGTGCCTCTTTACACAAATTCATGTTCCATCCTGCTGTTTGTTATATTAGACTTATATATGGGAGACTGGACTAGTATGTATGTAATGAGATGGGCAGTCCTATGCACAGCAGGTCTCCTGGTCCTGCTTACGCGATTTTCTATTAGATTTTTTGGTCCCACAGCGCCATCATAGATATGATACGACTATCTTGTACGCATGATTGCGTCTGACGTCAGACAAACATGGAAGTAACTCCGTTCAGATTCAACTTATGTACTGGCGTTATTCCTCAGTCTACCACACGTGTTTTTAATCAGGCAGTTATTGCCTAGACATTTTAAAGGTTATATTAATAGGAACAGAGACCATCAGGTTAGATATCACCCCTGAGGAAAGCTGTGACACCGAAACGTTGAGGTTCTACTATCTCCTGCTCTTGGGTCAGTATGCCCCTTATGTTATGGGTTGTTTTTAGCACTTACTACTGCATGTATAGTAGTTATTGGTATTTTATTGTTTACATGCCTGTACTGTTATCTGCACTTTCTTTTTGCAATCTATACTTATCCACAGTATAAAAAACTTTTTATGTGCAAATTTATTCTAGTGTGCTTGGGGTTATTTTCTACTAGAATGCATTATTAGTTTTTTTAACAAGCAGAATATGAACCTCCTGTCTTTATTACAATTATAGAATTTTCAAACTTTCGTGATGTAAAGTCACGATTTTATCATTACAGGAGGCGAGTATTATCCCACTACTCAGCATTCTATATTTTGTATAACCGCCACATTTTTCTGAATACTAATTTCGTATTATTATTATTACTTATTACTTTCTTTCATTATGAAAAGAGATCATTTTTCTAACAGAGTTTCAACGTCTCACATGTCCTTATCAGGAAAAGTTCAAGATAATTCCTTCTCTCTCCAGATTACCTTTAGTATCCAATTTGCAGTACACCATCTAGCCCCACTGCCCCTCCCTCCCTTTAATATAGTAAAATCATAATTTTACTCCAGTCTGCTGCTGCTGCTGCTGGCTCTGCCTGCTTGGCTGTCATCATTGGAAGTGATTCTCTCAGTCAATCACAATGCTTTCCCACAGGATTGGCCGAGACTGTCAAGGAGGGCAGAGCCAGCATAAGCCAAAAACAGCATCTCCTCACAGAGATTCATTGAATACCTGCATCTCTATGAGGAAAGTTCAGTGTTTCCATGCAGAGGGTGGAAACACTGAATGGCAGTGACCCAGGAAGCATCTGAGAGCCATCTGAGAAGTTACCAGTAAAGGTATCCCTAGGTTGTAATGTAAACACTGCCTTTTCTCTGAAAAAAACTGTATTTATTGCAAAAAGCCTGAAGGGAATGATTCTACTCAACAGAACAAATACAGTGACTATAGTGTCCCTTTAATTATTTTCATTCTACAACATTTGTAATCATTGCAGTAAAGAGGACTGGGTTAATACGGCATTACCTTATATAGACTAAGCTCAACTGTGATAAGTGGTTAATTACACCTGCTCTTCTGGTATATTATGGTGTTTTCAATTTGTTTGCACTGTAAAAAAATGTTATGACTGTTTGCTGCTATAAGAAGGTGTAGAAAAGAGAGGTAAAGCATAATACTTGCCTCCTGTCTTAATAAAGATAGAAAAATCTAAAATTTTGCTACACTATTTAGCAGAGATTGGAAGTTAAATGGCTACATAAAATGTGTAAAATACCCTCTGGAAATAGCATGTGATGTATACTTTATATAAATATATACTGTTGTGTAGTAATTTTATAATCAACAGAACTGCAGCTTAATGTAATTGTTCTTTCACTGCAGTTTTTTTTAAATGTGAACACTGCTTTTTAAGAGAAAATGTAGTGTTTACATTACTGCCTTGTAAAACCTCTAGTGGGCGTCATTCACAATTCACAATGTGCAGTACAGATATTTAGCATCTCCACACTCTGCATAAAGACGCTAAACACTCTCCATAGAGATGCACTGACCCAATGCATCTTTTTTGAGGAGATGCTTATTGGTGTAGTACAGCATTTTGCCACGAATGGGCAACAGCCTAACTGGATTGGCTGAGATAATCATACTTGATAATAGTAGCCACAGAGGCAAAGCGAGGCATGGACAGTCGTAGCAAGACCGCGGAACTGAAGAAAATAATAAGTTAAATAAATTTTCAAAGGTAGGCAAGGGGGCCCGGAACCTAAAGAGTGATTTTAACACTATAGTGTCAGGAAGACATGTTTGTGTTCCTGACTAGAATGGTTCCTTTAAGCTTACAAGACAACATACCAATTATAAAAATCGCTCTACAGTAAAATGGTATTTTAATTTTTGTATTTTGTGACCTGTTACTACCAAACAAAAAAAAACAAGCAAACAATTTATTTTGAATTTGTTTTCTTAAGCTGCACTATTTATGCACACATAATTATTGCCAAAAAAACTGTGGAAGGGGGGAATGGGGAAGCATGATTTTATTTTTTATATAGGAAATTACAATTTATACATGTATCTGTCCCATCAAATTGAAGCCCATTTTGTCCTTTAAAAACAGTATACAATATTTGTTTTTGCAATAAATGAGAAAGATGCAAATTGAATTTGAAGACAAACAGCAAAAAAAATAAAATAAAAAATAAAAACAAACAAACAAAAAAATTTGCTTGTGTCCTTATTGGGATACTATAGGCATCAAAACAATATAAACGTAATGAAATCGTTTTCCGTGCATAAATCATGCCCCATGTAGTCTCTCTGCTCGATTCTGCTCCATACAGGAGTTAAAGGGACACTATAGACACCCCATTAAAGTTGTCTGGGTGCAGTGTCCCTAACCCCTTTACCCTGCAATGTAAAATATTGCAGTTTCAGAGAAACTACAATATTTACATTGCAGGGTTAAGACAGCCTCCCATGGCTGTCTACTAGGGGTGTTTCTTGCATTTTCACAGTGTTTAACTTTGTGAAAAGATGTGTTAAGAGTTTTTAACCCAGGGTGCTGCGGATGCAGAGGGACACTATAGCGTTAGGATTACAGTTTTGTATTCCCAATGCTATATTGTTAATTTAAAATCACTTTTTTTCTGTTTATGCAGCCCTAGCCACACCTCCCTTGGCTGTGACTGGCACAGCCTGCACAAATTTTTTTTCAAACAGATGCTAACTTGCTTTAGAAGTTTTTATGTAGTGCTCAGTAAACTAAACTTTGAATCACACACATGAAGCACCTGCAGGATCTAGAAGGCCATTAAGAGCAAGAGAAAATAAATTCTGAATTAAACACACTGTGCAATAAGGGAACCTAAAATATATAGGTTCTTTTTCAGGAAGTGTTTAGGAAGGTTGTGCAAGTCACATGCAGGGAGGTGTGGCCAAAGACTGTACAAACAAAGTGATTTAAATCCTAAACGGCAGAGAATTGAGCAGTCAGACTGAAAGGGCATGATATACAGCAACATTGCTTTATTAAGCTAAAGTAATTTAAGTGCAAGATAAGCGTCTGAAGCGGTGTTCTTAAGGTGTCAAGGTGTGTTTCTAAAAAGAACTAAAAAAGGACAAGGATTCACTCACCATGAATGAACATCATTTTGGGACAGTCCTTAAGTATCAAGTCCGTAATGCCGCAATTTGTCAGAGTAATACCTACAAGATTCTTTGATTTGAGGTTCAACACCTGTAAAATGAAATTAGATTCATATAGCTAGGAGTAATAGGCAAGTAATAAAGGAAACACAAAAAACATGCAAGAGTTTAAGAGTGTATAAATTTACTGATATGATCTCAAATATGTTGCCAGTGAAACATGCCAGAACATGCACACACACACACACAAAAAAAACAAAAAAACAAATTATTATAAGGAAGCAAGATATGCTAACAAGCCTATTAATATTGTATTTGCCTTCTTTGAAATAAATAAATTTTTTAACAGAAAAAATGTCAAACACATTTTAAGGATCAAGACTTCCATCATGTCCAGATGTCAGCATATGTTTGAGTTCTGCCCTGAGAAGTGAACCTCAACTTTAACAATTTTGAATACCACAGTGATTGGGCATGCATGGTCATCTGCTGCTAGAATCATGGGACTGTTTGTTTTTCTGTGTTTAGAATGTAGATCTTCGTGGATTTTTTAATTTGGTTGTCATGTGATGGAGGAGTTAAGGGACTGGCCATAACGGCGCAGGCCTATCTGTACATTTCTGGATGATGGACGTAATTTTCCTCCAATAAGGTGCTATGCTTCTGCACTCCGACAATTTGTCGATAAGAGTGTCCCTCAAAACCTTGCACCTCCAGCAGTTGCCGTCCAATGCTGACTGCTTAAAGAGTTCTGGGGTCAAGTACCACATTGCTAGGAGTTTATCAGCTGTCTTTTGCACATTACTTGCTATTGTGCAGTATGAACATCTTTTGCCACTGTGCCTGGTCACATTTTTATTGGGAAGGTGGGTGTGGTAGGTTTTGATGCTGTTGCAAGTAGTGTATAAACAGGAAATGGCATATGGTAAAGAGTCTGCTCAAAGTGTGTTGGGTCCCAAAACAAGTCTGAGATTGGGGTAATTTTGAGATATACTTGGTAATATCAAAATCTGACCATAAATGTGAATGGGTCCTGCTTCTGTATCCAGATGAGGGTCATAAATTTCCTGTCATAAATGTGTTGCATAAAGGTTCATAAATGTGTTGCATCTGTGAGAGTGCATGGGTAAAGATGCATTTTATTGCTTCTGGTTCAGTACCTCTCATGAAATCTTTGCTATGTACCAGAGAATGGGGGAGGGAAGGGAATAAAGAGATGCCCAGTTTGGGTGCCTGGGAGTGCCATATGGTTATTGTAGCCATAATGAGTGGGTGTTGGGTGCATATTGGTCTGTAGGTTTCAGGGTCCATCCATAGAAAGGCAGTGACGGAGCTGCCCACCTGGTGAGCTTCAACAGACTTCCAGGGTTTCTGAACCCCTTATTTCGCCTACCCAACCATCCGTAGTAGATAGGAAGCAAGACGGTAAAGCTTAACGTTGGGTACGCCTCAGTTGTGAATTATTTTTCAAATATTTTGTGCTAGGTCATTTCTACTGCAGGCTTTTTGGAATGCACTAGGGACATACACTGATCAGACACAAAATTAAAACAATCTGCCTTTTATCCTGTAGGTTCCCCTCATGCTGGCAAAACAGCTCTGATGCATCGATGCATGTACTCCACAAGACCTCGGAACATTTTTCTGTGGCATCTAGCACTAAGACAGTAGCAGTAGATTCTTTAATTACTGCAAGTTGTGATGTGGGGCCTCCATGTATCCGTTGTCTCACCACATCCCACATATGTTCAATCAGATTGGGATCTGGGGAATTTGGAGGCCAAGGCAACACCTCAAACTCTTTGTCATGTTCGACAAACTATTCATGAACAATTTTTGCAGTTTGGTAGGGTGCATTATGCTACTAAAAGAGGCCACTGACATCAGGGGATACCAATGCTAAGAAGGAGTGTATATTGCCTGCAATAATCTGTAGGTAGGTGGTACAGGTCAATGTAACATCCACACGAATGCCAGGACCAAAGGTTTTTCTGCAGAACATTGTCCAGAGCATAACACTGCCTCCACCGGCCTGCCTTCTTTCCATTGTGAATCCAGCTGCTATCTTTTCCCAATGTAAACAAGGCACACACACTTGACCATCTACCTGATCTAAAAGAAAACCCGATTCATCAGACCAGGCAACTTTCTTCCATTGCTCCATTCTCCAGTTCTGATGCACAAGTCCCTATTGAAGGGATTTTGGGGGTACACAGAGGTCATTATGGGGATTTTGACCTGTCTGCGGGTACGCAGCCCTATACGTAGCAAACTGTGATGCACTCCTACCAACATCCTCTTATCATGTCAAGCATTATGTTGTTCAGCTATTTCATCTAGAGTAGCTCTTCTGTGCAATCGGACCATACGGGTAGCCTTCGCTCCCCATATGCATCAATGAGCTGTGGGCGCCTAAGACCCTGACGCTAGTTCACAAACTATTCTTCCTTGCACCACATTTGGTAGGTACTAACCACTGCATACTGGGAACACACCACAAGACTTGCCATCTCGAAAATGCTCTGACCAAGTCGTCTAGCCATTACAAATTGTCAAGGTCGTTAAGATCACATCTTTTTGCTTGCCCATTTTCCTGCTTACAACACATGAAATCTAAGAACTGACTGTTCACTTTCTACCTGATATATAGCTTACCCCTTGACAGGTTCCATTATAATGATGGCTTCGGTTAATGTTATTCACTCCATCTGTTTGTGGTTTTAATGCTGTGGCTGATCAGTGTAGGGTGTCAAAAGATATAATCAAGTAAAAGTTGTTACCTGGACATGATCATCCTCAATGACTGGGTCGCTTGTGCTTGTGGATTTATCTGCAGTCCTTTTCCTCTTCACAGCTTTTCTGTTCTTTGAAGCCGTGGATTCTAAACACAACATTTAAATGAACAAACTGATATGACTTATTAATTATTAAGTACCTTCACTAGTTTTAGTAAGCTGAATCAGTGTTATCTCCAGTAGAAAAAAAATATATAAATAAATGGATTTAAATAATCACAAAAACCTTTTTACTTTTTGCGCTCTATGTTTTTTGTCTCCTCTACCCATTCCCTCCAGTTCAGAGTTCATGTTTCTAGTGGGCTCACAGTGCTCTAAGCTAAGAAAAATGCATGTTGCAATAATCCTAACTTAGACTGACCCTTTAAATCTCCTTTGCATCCCTTACATATTTCCTTCTCAATATTTAAAACAAAAATCACAAAACAAAACCAAAAAAAAAAAACCCACCAACCAAAAATACATATTTTGAGAGTTCTGCACGAGAAAGGATGGGTGGTTTGGAAGATGCTGCAGACAGTTTTAAATATTGACTTGAGTTTGAGTACTAAAGGGACTCCAGCTCCACTTCACCCCCATAACAACTTTATCTCAATGAAGTCGCTCTTTTCTAATCTTATGGGGTTAAACCATTTTTGAAAAATGTAACCCCAAAGTTGCGTGCTTTCCCACACTGCCTTGTCTCAGTCGTCATACTGATCAGGAAGTACTGGCATGAGTGTCTATTACTGGTCAAACATTACAAGTAACAGTTTGGGTTCTGCCATTGATTAACCATGTTCTCATATATGAATTATGACGAGGATTTCACTACTCAGTTTGTGCTATTTATGGTACAGACTGCAAAGTGAAATCCCAGTCATAAGGATCACTGGCTTTCAGTTCAGTGCTTATGGCAGAGATTTTATTGTGCAATCCTTATTTTAGCTAGTAAGTGAAATAACGGTCAGACTCATTCCTGTTGAACTGAAATGAACATTAGATAAATGTATTTTTAAGGATGTGGTCCAGGGGTGTGTCTACAGTGGAGCCACATATTCAATTATAAGTCGAAATGATTAGAGATAGACTAACAGAGTGAAGTAAAATAGTAAATAAGAGTGGAGCAGTATGTCAAGAGAAGTGACTATTTAGGTGATAGACCCTAAATATCAATTTTGTGAGGGTTTTAGTTAATACTTAAAGGGACACTATAGTCACCTGAACAACTTTAGCTTAATGAAGCAGTTTTGGTGTATAGAACATGCCCCTGCAGCCTCACTGCTCAATCCTATGCCATTTAGGAGTTAAATCCCTTTGTTTATGAACCCTTGTCACACCTCCCTGCATGTGACTTGGGGAGGTGTGGCTAGGGCTGCATAAACAGAAACAAAGTGATTTAACTCCTAAATGACAGTGAATTGAGCAGTGAAATTGAAGGGAATGATCTATACACTAAAACTGCTTTATTTAGCTAAAGTAATCTAGGTGACTATAAATGTTCCTTTAATATTCATCCATTGAAAAGTAAGTATTAACTTCAACCCTCACAAAATTGATATTTAGGGTCTATCACCTAAATAGTCACTTCTCTTGGCATATTGCTCCACTCTTTATTTACCATTTTCCTTTGTACATTTTGTTGTTTGTTTAAGGGTACCACATTTCAGAGTGTGTTAGCAGTGAGACAAAATCATACCAACTCTAAGTAGCAACTTAATTTTAACATTTGTAAAGAGCGCTCCAAAAATCATCTCTTTTTAACAGTAATGATTCTCACCGACAAAAATGACTGCATGCCGATTGGTCATTAATCAGCTTCCTTGAATATATAAATGTTGAAATGTTATCACATTGTCTACCACAAGCTGCAATTTTAAAGAGTACAAAAATTCAATTGTATTCAGTTTTTTTATGTTGCCTTCATTTAAATTTTTGTTTTTAAAGAAATACTCAAAAAATCATAACACGTAGTGCCAGGATGACCCTGGTGCTTGTTTACCAATTTACCTGGCACCAGACTCTATCCAGCAGTGCAGGACTTACTTAGCTCACTGGTGGAGAATGCCAATTAAGTGCTCTCAGTCAATAAGTTGGCACGTCAGTGCATAGCTCAGATAAGCAAAAAGTACACAGTTTTTGGCTCTCTTGGAGGCTGTGACTTGTGCCCAGTGAACCGAACTGTTTGATTAACATTTGACAGAGGTGGATCTCACATAAGCTGACACTTTTCAAAGAGATGTACAAAAAAGTGAATCACCACAGCACAGATAATGCATTTCTTGAGGATGAGATTTTTAATAGCCATGTAGCCAATAATTGCAATAAACTGCATTTCTATTGTATATCTGCATAATTCATTTTAGTTGACATTCAAGAACTTCTTTCCAAGAAGATATTATCTTTAAATTGTTTCCCCTATAACATGGCAATAAATATACATGCTGAAGGACTCACCTCCATCAGACATTAGTGGCACTTGAGAAAGCCTTGTTCGTGCCCGAGTTAGGGGCCTCTGTGAGTTATGTTCTTCATTCTCTCTATGGCAAGCAGATGATGTGCTTGGTTCTGTTCCTGTATTAGTCCTGTACATTCCACCTTGTGGCGTGAGGAATGCATTTTCTGAACCAACTGCTGGGGAAGACTGACTAGTGGATGGTTGCTGTCCTTCCCAGCTCCCAGAAGTCCTATCTTGCAGTTGTTGATCCCTTGAAACACTGTTTGAACAGTGGGAACATAGTGTTACGGATTCATTCCCTTGAACAGAACTGGGCTGAGAGCGCTCTGTTCTATTACACGTGCACAGATCAATCTCTTCACGGGCATCGGGACTGCCATTCAAAGCTTGATTATTGTCCATGCTATTGGATGGAGGATCACAGGCATTTAGAACTGCATTTGAATTTCCCATCTCGGCGGGACTGTCTTTGCTTTTGCTACGCTCAGATGGGTCAGTAGCAGCTTTCATATCAGCCTTTATTTGCTCGCTGGTTACCTGACAACCCTTTTCACAACTTGTCTCTTCACTTGGAATGGTATGCTCTACCGGGATCTTGGTACCACAATTAGGAGACTTCTTCCGCAGGGGAGCTTTTCCTTTCCCACTTACAACTGTAACAAACAATGATATAAAGTTAGATGAGACACCAGTCATTGTCTCAGACCATGATTGCCTTTAAACTATGGAACTACAGCTGTGAAAGATACTCAGAAGTAGTGGCCACATAACTGTTTATAAACTGAAAAAGACTGAGTTAAAGGGATTCTATAGTCCCAGGAAAACAAAAAACTGTTTTCCTGGCATTATAGAATCTTACATTGCCATCCTCCCGCGACGCTGAAGAGGTTAATACCCCCTCAGACATTTACCTGAAACCAGCTCAGCTGTCCTTCGGCGGTGGGTCGAGCTCCGCCCATGCTCCTCCCCTGCCGACGGGGAAGACCTAATGCGCATGTGCGACAATGGCCGCGCTCACATTAGGATTGACAGAAAAATCTGTTGCTGGAGGTCCTCATGCAGAAGCCCTCTAGTTGCAGGGTTAAGAGACATGGGACTTTGCATCAAGACCACTTTAATGAGCTGAAGTGGTTTGAGTGCCTACCGTGTCGCTTTATTGAAGTCAGCTACATTCCACCCACACCTTCCTGCTAACAGTAGTAGAAATCTGTTCTCTGGCTCATTATCGAGGAAGTCCCCTAATTATTGAAATTAGTAGCACACTATCCAAAGTTTAAACTATCAAGAATTTAATTAGAAAATCCTTCATTTTTATAGCCCTAGTTGTTTATTATAATAATATATAATTATTCAGATTATAAATACAGCTACTTGTCATAAGAAGTTTTACTAGAGATCCAGAAAGCAAATATTTAGTTTTGACAGTGCACAGAAAAAAAATACAACAATTCTAAATTAAGCCATTTTTTACAATGACTATCATAAAGCAATAGTGTTTATATGAAAACTACTTTAAATCTACAAAAACAGAATCCATGCAAAGTACAAAAACTTAAACACTATTATAAGTCACTTCATAAAAACTGGAACCTAAGGATTAAAGGCCAAAGTCATATGTGCAAGGTTATACTGTACATTTATAAAGATGTCTTACACTCACTCTCACTTTCAATACTGTAACAAAAAGTGAGCCACGGAACCAAGCGGTCGCACACACGGAGAGCTCCGGACAAAACGAGACAAAATCAACGAGAAAATAACACTAAAAGAGCCCACATACCTCTGGAACCCTACGGGCAGACCGGGAGAGCAAAGCAGACACCCAACTGATACCCTTTACATACCAGCAGACGGGTCGGAAAGTCCGCCGCAAAGCCAAGGCCTACCCAGATTACAGGGTCCTTGAAACGGCGCTATACAGCGCAGCACTCACCATAACCGCACAGCCAGCAGAGAACACACCGATTCGGACACCATGGGAAGAAAATCACAGCAGGCGGCAGCAGGGGCGTGTAAAGACACCCATGACATTAGCACCATGCTCCAGCGCCCGGCGGGCCCAAAGATGGCGGTCACGCCTGACCCATGCTGAGGGGGATACACCAGACCAACGGCCACCCCATGACATACAGGCTGACCCAGATGCGCTAACACCAGCCACCAAACTGGATATTAAAAGCCTCTTACTGGAACTAAAACAAATGTCAGCGGCAGACATGGCCATAATAAAAACGGAGGTCCAAGCGGTCACGGACCGCGTGAAATCCACAGAGGAAGATATAAACGACATACAACAAGACATAAAAAGCCTTAAAGAAACAGTATCACAATTAAAAGCCTCTCACTCAACTCTGCTCAGCAAACTAGAGGCGACGGAAGAGAGGAGCCGCAAATTCAATGTAAAAATCAGGGGAATCCCCGATGACATCAGCCAGTCAGAGTTGCCGCATTACCTCAAGCGACTGGTAGCCACCATATTGCCACACACACAGGCCAAAAAACTTGCCATCGCAGAGATTTTTCGCATCCGTAAATCACCACAGGCACCCCCCCAAACAACCAGGGATTTAATCGGCAGGTGCCACACTCAGGCGGACAGAAACGCCATCTTTGCAGCGCTAAAGGGCAAAACACCACTGGACTTTGAATCTGCAAGTCTTACCTTTTATCAAGACTTAACACGGTCCGCACTTCAATGGAGACGACACCTACGCCCAGTGACCCGTCGCCTTCAAGACGCCAAGGTAATCTACCGTTGGACAACACCCAAAACCTTGTCTGTGGATCACAACGGCACTACTCTGCATCTCACCTCCACCCAGGAGGCGGACTCCTTCCTAAAGGCGCTGAAGCTCCCACCGAGACCAGATCCAACTGACGAGCCCACCAGCTGCCATACATGGGACCCCACCAGAACTGTCCCCTTTGTACCGAGGAGAAGGGAAATCCCGATAGCGGACACTTGACGTAAATGACTGCTGCTCAGCCCGCTGACAAAAAGTTACCAGAGTTAACAATAATGTTTTTCTTTTACCAGTTCTACGATTACTTATATACCAAGGGTTTAGCACCAATTAGAGAATCCAGCAGGGCACACACCCATATAACACTTCCTTAAGTTAAAGGGCCACCTCACAGGCTATGTCCCACGTACCAATAACGCAATTACCGGGTACCGCAAGCCCCACAAAAGCCACCGCCAAGCTGGAGCCTGCTCATATACCAATTGTACATCTCCACCACCCCCCCGAGGCTCCCTAGGTTAGGGGTCAAGGACCACACACACACACACACATCGTACAATCATCTACGAGGCACACAGGGCAACTTAACGATAGAGAGACCTAAGTTCACGCACAATACGCCCAGAAATAATGCCCTGGACTAGGGATACATTGGCGAGTAGTGTGGTACGAACCTGTGTCGCCAGAGCATCCACTAGGACCCACTTACACGAAATAAGCGACCATAGTACACCAATCACAGCTGAACATGCTATGTAACACCAAGTTAACAACACGTAACTTATCACCTTAGGGGGGCCTATGGCGACACAAGGATAAATCAAACAGAATTGTTGTAACATGTAAAATTAACCTTATAAAAAAAACTGTGCACTGTCTTTTAATGCCAACTGTTCATCTATGTTATATGCGTGACTACCTGAGAAAGCTGTTGTGGCATCTTCATCACCTGTAATAAGCAATTGCACAACAAAAATAAAGAAGTCAAAACAAATAAAAATTATTGTAACAAAAAGTAATTCTCATTTTTTTGGGCATCAAAACACGTGTACTTTGAACTGCTGTAGACTATTTAGGCCTGGGGAGGTAACGCAACATTCTAATCCCACCTTGGAATATCAGTTACGTTGGCGCGGGGATACCGGGCACTCTTGTGGATCAGAAATGCAATCCATCCATGCACCCTAAGAGCGTTCACTTAAGGATGACTCTTGATGCATATTCAGCTCGACTTCCTGTATCTTGTTTTACATCCTGTTCTATATCTTGTGTCATATCTGGTTTTATTTCAAAAATGTGCAACGTACCAAGACAAGCAACTCTGTTTCCCATACAGTGCTTACATTTCTGCCATAGGTCACTGCATACTTATATCTGTACCACTGCACAACAAAATAAAGAATGTAAAAAGAAAAAAACGTATACTCACCTGTGCCATCATTAGGATCCACCTCTTTACTGTTTTTATCTTCCTCAGCGGAATAGTTCAAGGAAGGGTTACTTGTGCTGGGACCACTAGCAAGGTCATCCTCATCCTCGCTGTCAGAATCATGAACAGTGATTGGTGCAGCTTTTACAGCCGGTTGCAGCCCACTAGGTCCTACAATTTTATTGGATTAAGAAAACAAAGTCTATGTTTCCATGTACACAGATACCTCAAAATTAAGCATGTCATAACAGGCTCATAGGAAATATTTAATTTAACATAGAGATTACTTATATATTGTATTATATTATGTATTGCTTAAAGGGGGGACTCATGTCCCAATATTTTTTTGTTTACCCATGCACTTTTATTTATTTTTTTAAAACATATCTTATGTGAGGTCTAAAAAAATAAAATGAAATGCAGATATCCCCACTTTTAATTTTGAACTGGGAAAACCCTTCTTGGCTTCCTGTTAATCATAGTCAAACATGTTGCGCTTTTCTGCCATTAATCATATACCTTGATTTAATAAGCTTTCCAAATGATTCAAAAAGGTTTTTTACAAAAATTCCAAATGATTTATCTATTAAGTCTCCATTAAAGTATTTGAAAAATGTTGTGGATAAATGATTTGGAAAGATTTTAGAACTTAATCTCCTCGTTTGCACAGAGTGCCTGAAATGAACTGGACTTGCTAAGTCAATGATACACTTATTATAAGAAAACAAAGCTTCACATATGGGGGGGCTTATTTAATACAAATATCCGGTGTCCCGTGACAGGAACATTTTAAGCAGAGGTTTATAAACTGACAGTGAGGAAGTAATCTGAACATTGGATAGATGCAGTAATACTGACCTGCTCTCTCTTCATCCACATCCATTGGTATAATAGCCAAACTGGCAGCGGGGGCCTCATTTTGAACTTCTTGCTCTGGTGGTCTAACTTCATCTTGAAACATATCTTCCATTTCATTAAGTGCTGAAAAATCAGTCAGATTTACTTATTCAAGGATATTTTTGTAAAACAAATGCATTCTATACAAAATGTATTTAAAAATTATTAAAAAATTATATACATACATACACGTACATCAGTCCAATTAAAATCCAAAATATTATTTATCTTTTAACAATGAGGACTGATGTTGCCTTAAGTTACATTATAGGTTCACACAGTTATTTATAACATTCAGATATTAACGCCACTATTGCTCTCTGTATTTCTTATCAGTTCTTTCATAAGTACACACATGCTTTGTTAAAGCTCAACTTACTGGATAAACAGATCTTACCTTCTGCTGCAATCTGTTCTTCCTCTACAGGGTTCTCCGGTCTGACTTGAGCCTCCTCATTCCCTTCCTCTTGTGCTGGTTGTTGGTTGGGTTGTTGTGCATTGTTATTGTGCTGCAGGTTGTTATTGTTGTTCTGGTGGTTATCATTTTCATTGTTGGAGTTCTGATTGCTTACTAGGGCAGATGACACTCCAATGCCTGTTCCAGCACTAAGGCCCACACGAGCACAGCCCTACATATATATTCACAATAACTATTACATGAAATTAATGTAAGCAAAACAAATAATTTTTTCATTCAAACATAAAATATAAACATGTACCATTTTTTTGATGTTCATTTAGATATATAAAAAAAAAAAAAACCCAGCACAATAAACATAGTAAATCAGAAAATCACAGAGAAATGGATTTTGTATTAGGTCATGTACCTTTGGAGGTTCACGAAACATTTGGTCGAGAGAAATAAACTCCAAGCTTGGTAACAATTCCACAAACTGGCTAAATGACTCTAGCTTAACAGCATGGCAGCGCACCAGACTCAGATCTACCAGACGACTCCAACGAGAGTGATCTTTAAGGAAATTTAAGTTAAGAAAACAAATTTACAAAAATTTTGAACAAGACTAATTTAAATTAAAAAACAAAATTTAAAATAGTGCACATTATATATAGCAATGCCAAAACATCACTCATCCTGTGACAGAAACAAACAAAAATACGACACAAATACTAGGAAATAATGTAATAATAATGTACCTGTTATCCAGTTTTTTGGATTATGAAGATGTGGGCAATTGTAAATGACTAAATATTTAATGCAAGAGAAGACCTCGTTCACAGCTTTCATTCCAATATCTGTGATGATGCCAGGGTTCTCAGCCACATCTGCTAGACCATACTTCATCAGATCAGCATTGGTCATCTTACCTGGACCAGATGACAAATACATACTAATTTAGTAGTCATGGACAGAGTGCAATGAACAGATGTACCGATAAGCACTCTGATAATGCAATGATCCATTATCACAAAAAAAAAAACACATACAACTATACATAAAGTTACATTAAATTAGGTATTGTAAAATATGTCTTTACACTGAAGCAAAAACTCATCCACATAGCCGAGATGCAAGGTTTCAAACTGCGGAAATTCAAGCTCTGCCATCTTTAATGCTGAGAAAACACCATCTTTGGTCAGGGAAGGTTGGATGCGCACTTCATGTAACCTTAGAAGTAAACAAAGTTTTGATGAAAAAATATTGGCCATATTGCTAAAGAGTACTTAGACAAGTAAAAAGACAAGAATTTTACATTGATTCTTTGATTTAACAGTTTGCCTTCTTACTTTGGGTCCTCTGGGTCCCACAAACCCATTCTCTAGGGTTAAAGGACCACTCTAGGCACCCAGATCACTTCAGCTTAATGAAGTGGTCTGGGTGCCTGGTCCAGCTAGGATTAACCCTTTCTTCTATAAACATAGCAGTTTCAGAGAAACTGCTATGTTTATAAATGGGTTAATCCAGCCTCTAAAGCCTCTAATGGCTGTCTCATTGATAGCCGCTAGAGGTGTTTGCGTGCTTCTCACTGTAATTTTCACAGTGAGAAGACGCCAGCTTTCCTATGAGACTGGCTGAATGCGCGCACAGCTCCTGCCGCGCGTGCGCATTCAGTCGAAGAGGAGGATAGGAGGAGGAGAGCTCCCCGCCCGGCACTGGAAAAAATGTAAGTTTTAACCCTTTCCTCTCCATCCTGCCCGGCGGGAGAGGGACCCTGAGGGTGGGGGCACCCTCAGGGCACTATAGGGCCAGAAAAATGTTAAGTAACAGCTAGAAGCTACGTTGCTCTCTTGAGAAAAACCTCAGTGCAGGGAAAAGCCACTGGCTTAGATTGTCAGTCAATGAACAAAAATGGTTTATTTTGATGTGATCTATTTCAGGACAGTTTTGTCAATAATAATAATGGGTGTATAATTAGTGCAGCTTAAAGGGACACTATAGTCACCAGAACAACTACACCTTAATGTATTTGTTCTGGTGAGAAGAATCATTCCCTTCAGGCTTTTTGCAGTAAACCCTGTCTTTTCAGAGAAAAGGCAATGCTTCCATTACAGCCTGTGAACACCTCCAATGGCCACTACCCATATGGCTACTAGAGGTGCTTCCCGGGGCAGTGCTGCACATTCAATGTCTCTACCCTGTGCATGGAGACACTGAACTTTCCTCATAGAGATGCATTGATCGCCGGTGCATTGTTTGGCTTGTGCTGGCTCTGACCCCGATCAGCCTCCTTGACAATCTCAGCCAATCCAATACTTTCCTATGGGAAACATTATGATTGGCTAAAATCAGCACTTCTGATGATGTCAGCCAATGAGGCAGATCATTGGCAGAGCCAGCACAAGAAGACTAGAATAAAGGGATAAAGGTAAGATTTTAAAAAATGTAGGGGGGGAGAGGGGGAAGGAAGCTAGTTTTTTGTTTGGTTTTTAATATTATAGTGTCAGGAATACATGTTTGAGTTCTTGACCCTATAATGTTCCTTTAAGAAGAGTTATTCAAAATAAATAAATGCATTTATTTGTCATTATTCAGAATATATATGTATATACAAGTAGACATCACATACATACATACATACATATAAATACATATACACACACATACACACTTTGTCATTGAACTCTCAATCTCTGGTTACTATTTATTATTATTTTTTTCCCCGTTCTTTATTTTGGTTGTGCAGAATGTACATAAGTGCCTACATTGCCACAACAGCAATGGTAGGCATAATGTTGACATTTAGAAAACAACAGCACATATTTTTATTTTAAAGTAGGTCATCAAGTAAGTCAAACAAGTCTATAGGAATAATTTGTCAGATATGTCAGAGTCGGAATGTGAAATAGACATGTAATATAATTATGAGAAGAAGCATAGTCATGCTAACATTACAAGATTCATATAAGAATGCCAGTGGGTCACAGTTGGTCATCAAGGTATTGCACACAGTCAATAAAAAATAGACAAAGGAAAAAGTAGTGAAATACCCCACAGCATTAGTATTAATAGCATGTAGTAGGATCATATCATTCAAACTACAAGAGTTGCTATGGTGGAGCAGGGTAAGTGCAAGCAAGAGCGCTGCCCAAGTGGCCTGGGTAAGTCTATTCTATGCCTAAGCTTGGGAAGAACTTGGTGTCTTCACTGAGGGTGTAAAAGCCAGGAGCAGAGTAGGAGCAATGTAGGGCTACCCTCCAGCCCCTCTCAATGCCACGGACCTAGCAGCTCTTGAAGTCCTTTCAAATATGGCAGTAACAGGGGGCCTTGGTGTCTTGGCCTACGTGGGCGATACATTTGGGTCTTGCCCCTGTCAGCCCTCGGCCCAGGTGAGCTAGTGATCTTAGAGGTTTGCGCTTGTGAGGGGTTAAAAGCCCGAGGTTGACCCACTCACAGCCAAATTTGTGCCCTTCCAGGCTTCTTCCCGTTGCTGAGGTATGTGAGCTGGTTATCTTGCCTCCAGAGAGGTCCAGAATCGGGTAAAGATGCCCTATAGCTTCTGTAGGGATTGTTGGATTCGGTCAGGGCATTCCCCTGCAGACTGTACCGACTTTGTTCCATGTGGTGGTGACGCGTCCTCCATCTTGACAGAGGAGCAGTGTTCTAGGACTGGAGCAGGTACAGTAACCTATTGCCAAGTTAGTTGAGTTACTGACCAGTGGAGTACAGGATAAGCCCCGCCGGTCCAAAGGGGGGGGGGGGAGGGGGGGGGCTGAGCTTGAGCTTGAAAATATATTTTGTGGTATGACAAGCTGGAGAGCTGCCAAATCGTCTGCCCAGCGCCTGCACCAAGCCCACCTGGAAGCTCTTGATTATAGATGAATTTCCATGAAGTCGGTGAAGCCGGTCTCTGGGTCAGGTATGTTACAAGGGGTGACTGTGGCACGCTGGAAAGTGGTAATTTCAATGAGTTGTAAGATCAGGCTTGGAGCACACACAAGGCACATCCAGCCGCCATGGAATGCAGGCCCCGTCCTCAATCTCTGGTAAATATTTTTAATATACGTACATATAAAAAAGGTTTTTTTAAATGTGTATATCATACACTTGATGTGTACTACTTCTGTACAAAACCCAATACTGTGTTCAGCTACTTCTTGTGAGTACAATACCCCAATGATTGCTTTTGACACTATACCGTGATGCTACAGTGCCATATAAGAAATCTGACTATTTTAGTTGTTACAGTTAGAATTTTGATGGATTTGAGAAGACTAGGTCTCATTTGGGGGCATTATAGCAGTTTGATTGTTCAAATTACCCCACAAAAGGCCTACCATTTAAGAAAACAGACACTTCAGGGTATCTCATATTGTGCCATAACATGCTTCAATTTGTTTCACCAGTATATGCAATTATGTGTGGTAAATTTACTTTGGAATTTATTTTTTTTTTTTTTTTTTTTTACATAAACATTAAATTTTTGCTGGATGAACAAAATTTCTTTACATGCACTTTAGCGATTTTGTAAACCTGATCTGTGCCATTGTAATTGTAAAATACTAAATTGAGCTCCGCTATATCTCAGGACTACAGAATTACTCCATTCCAACACTCTTGCCAAGTTTATATGAAAATACAGGGCTAAATTTATAACCTTCCTAGAGCTGTTTAAAAAAGAAAAAATAATAATAAAAAGAAAATGGCCAACTAAAGATGGGTCTATGGTGCATTTTAGTAAATCACATATTTAAATGACTCTGTAAGGTGGCATAACTTGTTGCTTGAACTAAATGCATGATCCAGCAACCAGGGAAAAACACTTCTCAAGGTATACGGTTACCAGAGCCAAATCTAATAAGGACTGCACATACTTTTATTTTTATTTTAATGGCTAAAAGTCATACAAAGTACAGGCGGTAGCCTGACAGGTAACAAGATGGAGGACATCATGCTACCAAATGAAGGAGCGCCTAAGATTTCTGATGAATGGCCTGTGATTGAGACCAATATGAGTCTCATGCTACTATCCTATATTAAAAACTATTTTAGGTGATGGTGGTTTCTCATTTGTTATACAACGTCGACAAAGATCGTATACTGCAAGTCATGACTACGTTTGACAAAACTTTTAATAAAAGTACAAATCAAAAATAAATTACTCCATAAATGCATATCCTTGGCAAATGTGGACACTAAGAGGGCTCACACATGATATATTTGGAGCTTTATTGAGGTGACATGTTTCAAAAGTTTGTGTTTTCATTCTTTTAAATTTTTATAGAAACATTGTATTTTTGCTGTTATTTTTTTTTAAATCTCATGTGTCCCTGTAATAAAACAACCTTAACTGCACTCGGCAACATCTCCTGAGTACATCAATACAGCACATGTATACAAATCCTAAATCTTAATCCTATTCCTAAAACAAATCCTAAATCTAACTCAAACCCTTATCATAAACCTCATCCTAATCCAATCGCTAATGCTATACCTAACTAAAAAAAAACAAAAAAACAGCCCATCTTACAGAGGGGAGCACCAGGTATCGACTGACACGTGGGTCTCCAGAGTGTGAGTAGGGTTTTAGCTCTGATCACACCAAGTTGTAGCATTGAGAGATATAAATTCTAATTTAAAGAGCTCAGTGCAGCGCTCACTGTGAATGCTGCATGTAGCTCAAAAGTCAGCGTGGGGCCCAAGGGAATATGCTGCATGAAGAAATTATTCTGTCATGAGTCTTTAAGGTATGGACATTCATGACGGAATAACTCATTCATAGTTAAAGGGTTAAAGTGGTCATATCTTAATTAAATTTTTTTACTTTGAAGCATAGATCACAATAAGTATTACAGATTATTTCTATTGACATCATGAATCTATTACAGTTTTAAAGCCTGCAAATTAAACAATACCTTCTAGCAGCAGTAATGATGAGGTAGCCAAGATCAACTTCCAGAGCATTTTTACATGCTCCCAAAACAATGGTGTGCAGATTCCGAAATCCACCTGCCAATGGGTAAAATAAAAAGATTAAAACAATACTTACTTCTAATATAATTTAGATCTTAAAAAAAAAAAAAATAAAAAAAATCTGAATCATCAAGAACTGGAATATGTTTTCATATCAGAAGGCAACAATAAACAAACATGCTACTGTTACTTATTAACCCCTTAAGGACTGAGCCAAATGTAGACGTTGTGATCAAAACAAAACATACACAAAACCTGGCATTTGTGCTGTATGTCTGTCCAACCATAATTCACTTCTTTCATATTAAAATGTACCCACACTTATTATATATAAAATTTTATTCAGGGGAAACAGGGCTTTCATTTAACATCAAATATTTAGCTATGAAACCTAATTTAATATGAATAAACTATTTTTAAAAAAATGGGAGAAAATAAGATTTTTTTAAATTTGTTTAGTTCTACATGACACTTTAACTGGGACTGTCATAATACGGTTTGTTTTTACTGCAATAAAATGCACATATTTGTATTCAGCGATGTCTTACGTGTAAAACAGTAACCCCTATGTACAGGTTTTATGGTGTTTTGGGAAGTTACAGGGTCAAATATAGCATGTTACATTTTTCTGTTTTTTTCCCATTGAAATTTGCCAGATTGGTTACGTTGCCTTTGAGACCGTATGGTAGCCCAGGAATAAGAATTTCCCCCTTGATGGCATACCATTTGCAATAGTAGACAACCCAAGGTATTGCAAATGGAGTATGTCCAGTCTTTTTTAGTAGCCACTTGGTCACAAACACTAGCTAAAGATAGATATAAATAATAATGGAGCCCTGGTAATGCACCCGGCCATGGAATTTTGAAGCCAGAGTGCAAGGTACTGTAGCCTCATATATATGTATATTTATATATTAATATTACAATACAGTTAGAACGAAATAAAAAAAATTTAATTTTATTTTTAACGTACTTACATATTTATTTTTTAAAATTATATATAAATATTATATTTAATCAATATCATTCTTAGTGTATTTTAATATTAATATATATTGATATTAAAATACACTTAGACAGTGTATGTGTAAATGTGTGTGTGTATATATAGCATGTAAGCTCATCGAGCAGGGTCCTCAACGCCCTCTGTTCCTGTACGTCAGTGGTCTGATCTCAATTATGTGTCTGTTAGTCCACCCATTGTACAGCGCTACGGAATTTGTTGGCGCTATATAAATAATAATTTTACACTGTTTTAATCTTTATTTATTCATTTTACAGCCAGCAGGGAAACTGTCATTCCAGGCAGTCTCCGTGATGGCAAAGCTGTGCACGGCTATGCCGTCCATGTGATCATGAGGTCCTCGCAAGGTCCCCAGAACGGCAGCAGGACGACTCCCTGGGATGGCAAGAGAGTCCCCCCCACCGCAATCGTTGGCGTAGGATCGCCGGCAACCGAGTAAGTACATAGGACTGTGTTTAGGACCGGGTCCCCAAGGCCGGCATAGAATGCCCGTCCTTAAGGGGTTAAATACTATGTCACTTTAAAATCATACTCAACAAATGCACTGCGACCAAGTAATGAGACATTGCGGACAGAATTTGGTCTGTTCTAGACCGCATTAAAGCACTTCTTAGGTCAGCCAGCCCACATCAGCTCAGTGAAGTGATCTGGGTACAGTGATCCTGTCATTTTAACCCTGCAATATAAAATATTGGAGTTTTGCAGTATTTACACTGCAGGGTTAAATACACCTCTAGTGGCTGTCTTCCTGGGTTTGGCACATTGTCTGAGAGCTCTCACTTGCATTGTGACAGATGCCCGGTGAACCCAAAGTAAGTTGTCAAAATGCTTGTAGGCAGTTTGACTACTTACCATGGGAAGGCACTGGGACACTCTGGACACCATAATTACTACACCTGTTGCACTGGTTTTGGTGCTTGGATTTTTTTCTTTAATGACTGTATAGAGCTGCAGATGCAATATAAGCTAAATTTATATGCAGAAGATGTTATTTTAACACTACAAGATCCATGTAACCCTATGAAGGCAGTGATGAATAATGTGGATAAGTTTGCAAAGATATCAGGTTATAAATTGAATATTGAAAAATTCATAGCGCTAGGTAGTAATATTGAAGAGAGTGATAGATATGGATTTAAGTGGGAGTTAAATTCAATAATTATCTAGGAATCCAAATTAGCAAACAGATATAACAACAATTGTGAAAAAACAAAACAAACAAAAAAAAAATAAATAATGTTTTTTACCTCTATTAAAAGAAATGAATAAAAAAAATTATTGGATTGGAAAAAAATCCCAATTTCTTGGTGGGGTAGAATAAATATTTTTAAATCTTATATCTTCCGTAAATGGGTATATCTATTTAGACTAATCCCACTTAATTTCCCAGGGGCTTGGCTAACAATGATACAGACAGCATTCAGGAAATTTTTATGGCAAGTTAAGACCCCCCAAAATAAGTGCTAGAATATTGATGTTAAGAACCATTCAAGGTGGTATGGGTATGCCTAATGTGGAACAAGTCTATAGGGCAAGTAGACTATCACATACTATAATAACCAAACAGGAAAACAATATTAAGACAAGTTGGTGTCAAACTGAACAAAGTATATTGAAAAACAAAAACTTAAGTATATTGTTTTGGACAACTGTAGATCCAGATAAAACACAGTGTGAAAGGAAGAAGGGAAAAAACTATAATATATTTCCTAAAACCATCTTCGATATATCCCAGAATTGGGAAAAAATTAGGAAAAGTATGGTTCTAAAGAATAAATTGATTGTGGAAGATGATATTGAGATCTTAAAATGTAATATTCAAAACATAAAACTAGAGAGATGGAAAGATTTGGGCATAATAAGTATTAAGAATATGATGGTTCACAGGGAAATATAGTCTTTTAGACGATTACATCAAGAATATGGCTTAATGAATACTGAAATATTCAATTACTTGAGGGTAAAGGGGTATATTAAGAAACATCTATATACTGGGAATGCAGAACAAGTAGACAGACATATTGGTCTCTTTCAAAAAGAAAATAAGGGGTTGTCAGCACAATGTAGTAGATTAATAGAAGGGGAGCAGAAATCTATAAATAAAACCCCTTGAAATATGGCAAAAAGATCTAAATGTATTAATTGATAAAGAAGACTGGATGTATTATTTAGACTATATAAATAAAGTAATACATAGTTTAAATATAATAGAAACAAATTATAAAATCATGAATAGGTGGTATAGAATACCTGCTTTTCGTTCTAGGATATACCCAATAATACGTAATAATTGTTGGAGATGTGGTATGAATAATTGAGATTATATCCATACATGGTAGCAATGTCCACCGAAACAGCTTTTTTGGGAAATGAAAAGAATCAAAATTTAATATTTTATTGGGAAGATTGTTAATCTCTGTGCAGAATTGTGTTTGTTACATATAGGATTGGTGTTATGGTCAAAGTATAACAGAGATTTTGTTATACATATTCTAACGGCGGCTAAGACCGAAATAACCAGGAAAATAGATACTCCAATGTGGCAGGAAGTAGAGAATCAATTAATATATCAATTGAAAATGGAGAAAGGATTGTGGATACAAAAAAAGAGCTACACAACATTGAGCTCATTCTTGGAAAAATTGAGCCACAGAGGAAGAGGTTAAAAAAGAAAGATATAAAGGTTTTTGAAGATATATTTGGGCAGTACTCCCTGATTGACAGCAGAGGGTGGGTGGGTGATTTAGGGGAACTTTATCTTTATATGTTTAAGGAATAATGTAAACACAATGAACCATGATTATATTGAAATTTAATTAACATAGAATGAGAAAAGAAAAGGGGGAATAAAGGGAAAATGTCTCTTTTTCTGTATTTCTGTAAAGTTTTTGTAATGTATTTGATAAAGAAAAGAGAAGGAAAAAGATAAAAATAAAAGTGATTAAAAAAACAAAAAACACAGGTGTTGTGCATGCATTACAGTCTAAACTGTTCTCCCCCTCCCATACAAAAAAGGAAAAAAGATTCATAATTGCACCCCTTACAAATCACATTTAAGCATCCTATTTAGTGGAGAAGCACAGATGAACACAAATACAAACTCTCCAATCTAATATTAGCATTTTTATGTATGCATATTTAAAATTAATGTACACAGGACATGAATTATATATAATTATATACATATAATTATTAATATCCTGTGTACATTAATTTGGAATATGCATAAAAATAATTGCTGCATGGTGTCTAAAAGATCGCTATGTTAATACAATTATGAGATGTTCATACCGAACAAGAAAAAAAAAATATATATATATATATATAAATCTGTATACAATGTGTAATGGATATACCACATATTGTCATCTTACTAACAAAGCTAAATGAGTCAATCTACATATTTTAGCTTTTAAATGAAGTAATGCCTGAGATACCAAATGCTCCAAACCATTAGGAAAGAAAATAGAAAATTAAATAAATGTACTCAAATAGTATACTTGGATTGTTGATGCCTGTTGATGCTTCACAATCAATGAAGTTGCTCAAAGTTTGTGTTTACATACCAGAACGCCAGCTGTCCTCCACCACGTGCTGAATTAGTCCCCCCAAAAAAGGAACTCGCACAAGCTCTAAGTGTTCCAGGTTGCGAGCAGAAGCCAGACCGGTTACCAATGGCACATACTTCAAGGAGTTTGTAGGACCTTAAAAAGAAAATAAATACAAATATTGCCTACTAATTTTTTTAATTTTAATTTTTTTAACGTTCACAAATTTCAATAAATGACAGTGTGCTATATGCATTTCTAAAAGAAAAATTAGTCAGCAGCCCAACTCATCTGACAGGTTTACACATGTGTCATTTGAGTTTAAAGTTGCACCCAAGAGGTGAATCAGCATAGTTCATCTGTGTGAATGTCTAAAACCATAGTTCAAAAACAATGTACTTGTAAAACTAAATAAGTTGTCAGGTGTAGACATAGAAGCAAGCTTTCTAACCTAGTTTAAGTAAGAAACACTCCATCCAACTAAAGACTAGACAGTAAACCAAAATAAGTCCCTGTAGTAAGCTACTGTATCTAAACAGAATCTCAATATTTGGATCTTGGACAATTACATTCCAGAAACTTTAACAATAGATCTGCTACAAGATACCCCAACAGGATTTGCCCTTGTAGATTATAGAGTAGTTGCAGATCCATTGTGCAAGATGCTGGTATGTAAGTGTCCAAGGCCCAGACACAGATATGTTGCTTACATTCAGATCCAAACAGGGAGATTATTTGAAAAGCGATAGAATACTTTTAGAAACATACCAGATACTTATGAAGACTCAAAGAGGGCACACCAGTTGTTTTTTTACCATAGCAACAAACGTTTGCCTTATTTCCACATGCTTAAAACTGCTGAGCACTTAAATGGACACATGGGGCACCCAGACCACTTCAGCTCATTGGAGTGGTCTAGGTGTTTTGTCCCAAGTCCCTTAACCGTGCAAAGCCAATTATTGCAGGTTTTAAGAAACTGCAATGATTACCTTCAAATGTTAACTCCACCTCTAGTGGCTGTCTACCAGACAACCACTAGAACAACTTCGGGGCTGTTGGACAACTTCTGGTCGCCTAACAGATGCTGGAAGCCCTCATGCTATGCATGGGGACATCCAGCGTCACACAAAACCCCATAGAAAAGCATTGTATAATGTGAGCACAGCTATTGCCGTGCATGCACATTAAGTCGCACATTAGGATGTCAGCCGGCGGAGTCAGGAGCGCAGGCGGATCCAAACCAGCATTAAGGGACATCGACCCTTGGCCCAGGTAAGTGACAAACCCTTCTGTCCCACTGGGGTGGGGGGGGCGCAAGGGAGGGGGAAGCTAAAGTGTCAGGAAGACAAGTTTGTTATTGTTGCACTATAGTTTTTGCCTTGGCCATGCATACAAACAGGTTCACTTTGTTTTGAGGTAAGCAGAGGGTCTGTAGGCTTAAAACCTCATACATGTGGTCTAAAATTCAACCCAAGTCCATTTAAAAAATATTGTGCTGGAGAAAATGTTTAATCATACTTTTTGTTTTCCCCACAATCTCAAAATGTTATGAAGTTATATGCAAATGTGACAAGTGATAGACAATAAGTCCTAAATGAAAAATAAACAAATCAGACATTCCCACCTTCTGCAAAAACATTTTGATAAAATGTGATATAAAAAAAAAAAACTGAAAACCCCATGCACAAGAAATTCAGACTTTAGGAGAGAGTAAGAGACAGGTATGTGAGGTAGAGGTTACTCTGGGAGGCCATAAGCTTTCCTAAAGAGATGGGTTTTAAGGCACTTCTTAAATGATTGAAGACTAGAGAGGCTGATGGCTATTCCATAGGAGAAATGAGATCCTCGAGATCCCACTTTTAAAAGGTAGCTAATGACATATGTCCGCTAGTGTTTACATGACAAGTCTTGAATCTAGACTAGAAATTGAATTATTTGCTATTGCTCACATTATTGATCCTACACTAGTTTGTTGATAGGGAAGATCATATTTTTCAATAAACTTTTAATATGACTTTTTTCAAATTTTTTTTTTTAAATATCATATTGTAAAAAACGTAAATATTTTTTAGAATATTGTTTAACACATTAATGGAAAGATATTCAATCACTTGAAAAGCTTATGCAAAAATAATAAAATCGAGGCCAACATCAGATAAGTGAGTATATTTTCATTATCTCCATAAGATCTTGCATCCTGGACAGGGCTACTTTAGCTATACATCCGTGCAAAATTAAATTTTGAAGACCTAGAAATCAGGGCCGGACTGGGAACTAAAAATCAGGCCTGTAAAAAAAATTCTATACCAGCCCCATAATGCATCGCGCCAGCATAGTGTGCAGATATGAAAGCAGAAAAAAAAACAAAAAACTGAAAACTATCACTCAAACGTAAAAGAAAGCACTCAAATGGCTTCAAAATAAACAAGAGCAGACCTGTTGTAAGCAGACGTGAATTTGCATTTAATCAACGCCCCCCACTACCAGCCCTTCATGTGTCCCTATACCCCCCTCCCAGCCCTCCATGTGTTCTCTATACTCCCTCCCCAGCCCTTATGCTTTCCCTTTAGCCTCCATGTGTCCCCATAAGCACCCCCAGCCCCATGTGTCCCTATAGCCTCCCCACCCCTCATGTGTCCCATTATAGCCCCTTCCCCAGGCCTACTGTGTCCCTATAGTCCCCCTGGTGTCCCATTATAGCCCCCGCTCCAGCTCCCATGTGTCCCATTAGCGCCCCCCCCGACACTCCCTGTAGGTCTGTACCTTGCCCGAACAGACAAACCACAGTAAAGGAGCCCAATAGTATGGCGGCCCACCAGGAAACTTCCCGGTATCCCAGGGAGCAAGTCCGGCACTGTTAAAAATGTTATACAAAAACATGAAAAATTTGACTTTAAAAAGGAGGTCGGGCGAAACGCGTGCGTCAAGGGTTCTTGCAGTGCTACTCTTATAATTTAGTGTTAGCACACGGACTTGCCACTGCGTTTATGCTTTAATTATTTTTTCACTTATCCACCTGGCGATCACGCTATATTTTTGTAAGGATCATGGTTCAATAGCCTAGCGGGACTAGCAGTAAGTGCCCTTGAAGGCACGGGAGGGAAGCCGTTTAGTTTAAGGGAACTGTATGTGGGAATTTATTTAAGTGCCAATCAAGGCACGGGAGCACTGTCCTTTTAACCTGTGATCTAGTGAGCTAGTTGAATCTGTTACTGCAGCAGTGTAGTATCGTATACCTATAGCTACCAAGCTTGGTAACAACTAAGCAAATACGGATATAGCACTCCTTAATACCAGATCTCGAGAGGGTGAACAGCGATAGACGTCGGATCAGCACGGCACAGTTCTTATTGCCATCACCGAAAAACAGTATGATTGGAGCACTCATCATTCCTCTCAGATAGCACCATTCCCACTTTTACCCATTGGCATAATAATATTACAGGTTTAGATTGAGATGTACTACTTGAGTCTCATTGGGGTTTGGCCTCTTATTATTTTGCAAGTACTCACATATTAGAAACAATTCACCATTTTTTTAAAAAAACTAATTTTTTTACCTGCACAATTTCGCATCACAAAGGTACGCAGACTAATGCACAAGAAGTCTTTAAAAGGCTGAGGCTTTGTGAGACGCACCCATTTTAAATATAGATGACGCAGCATCGGAATGCAGGGAATTTCTGGAACATTCACCCCTTTTGTAAAAAATGGAAAATAAAAATGTCCAAGTTAAGAAAAATAAATAATTAAACCAATCAAGAAAACAACAAAATTAAAGAACAGGCATAAAGGTCAGTAATTTCTGTTTTGGAGACAATTTGCTATTTTTTGCTGCGCTTTTGGTTGAAACATAATACAGTTTTCTTTATTAGCTTACCCCTCTTTTATGCAGTTGCAGTTTCACATTCTGACATCACCAATAAGGATAGAAGCACTGGGGGCAGACAGTGCATGTGGTAATCTCCACACTATACCAATTAGATGATTCTCAAAGAGAAGCACTGAATCCAGTACTTCTCTATGGTAAGCATTAACAGTGTTTAGCATAATCCTGGTGAGCAGCATGTGAAGACATTATATATTTTAAGGTTTTTATGAGGAAATGCTTCTAGTGGTGGCAGTCACAACAGGGAAGGTTTAGCCTAAATGTAAACATTGTAAGACTAAAAGAGACTGTGCACCAACACCACTTCATTCAACTGAATGAAGTTGTTTTGGTGCCTAGGGTGTCACTTTAAAGGTGCACACACATTGAAATAATATATGAGAGATATGTACATACACTGACTCACATTTGAGGACAGGGCTAGCAGTAGCACAGACAGTAGAAAGACATTTTCCCCATGGGAGCATTTCGTAACACGTGATTCTTTTGTTACAGTGATCACATGCACACAAAACCCCCACCCCAATATATTGTTGTCACTAAACTTTTGCCAGTAAATGATGCGCAAGCACGGTCAAAAAGCAGCTATCAATTAGAAATTATGCAATGCAGACTGAAAGAACATCACAAAAATAAAACTTTTTGTTCTTACAAAAAACAGACATGTAGCAGGAGAAAAGAAAAAAATGCAAGGAGAATAAAAACACCAGTGGGTACTCGTTAAAATACATGTGTCCACTCACAGCTTGTTGAGCCTGCAGCTGCTCTCATTGCTTACACTGTAGAGCAGGGATAGGCAACCTTTGGCACTACAGATGTTGTGGACTACATCTCCCATAACGCTCTTATACCCATAATGCTGGCAAAGCATCATGGGAGGTGTAGTCCAAAACAACTGGGGTGCCGAAGGCTGCCTATGTCTGATGTAGAGCATTACCCTCGCAACCCTGAAGGACATGTTCTGCAATATAACGAGCACCAGTAGCACAGATTAGAAAAGAAGAAGAGTGATCCACTCTGTCATCAGTAAGGGAACTACATCGCAGCCTAAGCATCAACAAAATTTGCATAATTGCAAAGGTGATGGTGCATAGAGCAACCTGAACCTACTCTCAGCTTTGGATATCACATTTACACAAACCATTCTCTACAGTGTATTATTTTCTTACCCACTAAGTGCAAAGTCTGGATTTTGGCAGCAATGGGAATTTTCAGCTTATTCTCTGGTGGAATTGGAAAGGCTCCATTACGATTCCTAAATTTTCCCAAAATATGCACCTGTGGCATGTATGTCCATATGGCTTCCACAAGTTCTAAATGAGAAGTCTCCACACCCTGGTTAAAACAGTTTATGTAAGATGCAAATATTCTAATATGCACAAACCATGCTTTCTATAAAAGACGACAAATTAATTTCAGTGTTACAAACATGCATGGTGGATTCAATTTAAATCACAAGTCAGTAAGACTTGATTGGAATCGTGATTTTTAAAAATGTAAAGATTCATTCATGCCGATTGGTATAATCTTTAATATTTCCAACCTAATTAGGATTTCATATTTAGAAAAATATGTTTTCAGATTATAGCAGAACTTAATTTGTTATGTACGATTAGAAATACAGATAATTCTGAAATTAAGGTGAACTATGTCCAGTTTAACAAGTTAATCATATTGGAGAACAATTAAATTTGTTTTTACTTTACTAAAATAAAATTACATAGCATACATATTCTTGTATTTGCTTAAACGATAATTTTGTCCTCTTACCCAGGTCCCCGCGTCAAACCTTCTCTGATGCTGGGTGACGCAAATCTGGCTTCTACAGAGTTACAGAAGACGGATGCCAATCACACCTGCCATTCACTGGCAGAAAGCATCAGCTGTGCTCTCTCAGCCAATGAATGACCTACGGTGCAAAGAATATGCACAGAATTGACATTAGCTAGCTTGAAACTCGTTTCAGGCATGCAAATGAAGTACTAATCATGCAGACGGTGGTTATCTCTGACAGCACTATAAAATATCACACTATGTGCAGAATGTCATATTCTAAAGCTGCACATACAGACTCCAAGGACCATCACCACTTCAAATCACTAAAGTAGCCATGGTGCTGTGTATAGCTTGATTAACAGAATGACACCGGGATTAAGGTCTTTTTCTAAACTTTTGTATGTTTATTTTGTAACATTTTAGCTGTGGAAAGCTGCAGACAAGTTCAATTTAAGGGGAATTAAAAAGAGGGGACACGCTTAACACATAAAATAAAGCTAAAGCAATTTATTAATGAAATCAGACTGTTAAAAAAAAAAAAGTATTCATTTTTTTTCCCCTCTTTTAAGTAACATTGTATTGTTGCTAGCAAATAAAGGGTTAAAAACACCATTTTACACTTGCCTGATTCCAGCACCGAAGTCCTTCGCTGTTGGGTCGGGCTCCTCCTCTTCTGGTGTCAGCAAATAAGGGGAACCTGATACATGTGTGGGGAGCACCACACACTCATTAGTCCTTCCCCTTAGGAAAGCACTGCATCTATGCTTTGTGATGAGGGATATTAAAGAAGATGGATGTCATGCAAAGCATGAGGACGTCAAACTCTGAACCTGCAGCAAGCACCTCTACTGGCTGTCTGGTGGACAACCACTAGAGGCAGTCTTAGCACTGCAATTTAACTAAAACTGCACTGTTTTGCATTGCAGTGTTATGGGGGATAGAGGGATAGCACCCTGACCACTTCAGAGAGATCAAGTGGTCTGGGTGCCTATAACGTCCCTTCAAAAATGATCAATATTTATACTCTCTGCAAACATGTTAACTATATACATCAAGTAAAGAATAAGCTATAAAAGGGTGATGATGCTAAAAAGATTGCAGAGGTCACATATTACAACAAGTTAAACAAGCGCATGGAATGCACTGATGCATGTTATATATATTTTTTTTAACATTACTAGTATTAACGTACTGGTGAACAGAACAGACAGATGACAACAGAAATATATTGTAACACCATGTCTGGTACAATGTCCTTGGGTGACATTAAAAAGGCACTCACGAGGAGGTTTGGGCAGGATTGCAGAGCTTCTAGCACACCAGGGATACTAAAGGCCTCATGGCCTCGAACTCTTCGCCTTTCCAAATACCTCGGATGAAGACCATAAAGCTGCTCTATGTCAGGCATCTTCTTTAGCAACTTAAGAAAACTGGAATCAGTGAAGCCTAGGATAAAAGAAACGAGTGAAAGAAGCAGTAATGAACAAAACCACGTATAATAAAACATGCACAATTCTAATTTATCAGCTAAAATGACAGGTAATTATAGCCAACAAGCTCAAAGTTTAAAAAAATATGGGTGATTTACAGGCATATAAATTTTAATTTATAGAGATTTGTACTAATTCCACATATATGTCTATGTTGAAAAAAAACCAAATATAACGTTTAACTAGGAAACCCTTTTTTATGCAGTTAATCCAAAAAGGAGGCAAAACAGCCAATTGTAGACTATGCTAAAAAGAGGGGAAACAAAAATAATCTCTTGAATCCATGATGGCAATCGGATTTTTCCTTGGAATCTGTGAACACACATATCAATTATATCCTTGAATATTCTGTTTATTCAAAAAAAGCATCCAAGACTTTTTTTTTTTTTTTTTTAACACAAACATTTATAGAAGACAACCTGCTTAGGCAGATATTTCTACATCTTTATTGTTCTTACTGTAAAGAACCCTTTCCTCCGCTTTAACTGTAAACAACTTTCTACCAGTCTCAATGAGTGACCACTTACCTGCTGTACAATTCTGCTAATGAACAAGTTAGCACAGTTAGCGGTTTGTACTGACCCTGCATATATTTGTATATTTCTATCAAATCCCCTCTGAGTTTCCTTTTTTGTAAAGAAAACAAATCCTGTTTTTCTAGCCTTCCCTCATAACTAGTGTTTTCCACTAATTTCATAGTTTCCCTCTGCACTTTTTCTAGTTCTGCAATATCCTTCTTTAAAACGCATGTTCATGGTGGGTTCTTACCATTGACTTATTAAGAGGCAAAATAATATTTTATCATGTGAATCAGTACCCCTTTTTATACACCTTACTAGCTTTTGCAACGGCATTGCATACTGTGGCCTAGTTTGTGATCTAGAATTGTTCCCAAGTCCTTTTGATTTAATGTTATCCCTAAATCAATGTCATTTAATGTACAAGTGGCTTATCCAAGCTTATCCTTTATAAAACATGCACAGAAAAATACCTTATGTGCCAAATGACAGATTATATACAAACATTTATGCAATAGACAACAAGAAGTTGAGATGGCTGTTCTATAGTTTGCTATGCTTTAGATTAGACATTTTAGATTTAAAAATAAAATGTAACATTTTATTTTTAAAACTTATCTAAATCTAAGCATTTGTGTGTGTCAGCATCTAAAAAAAAACCACATAATTAGAACACAAATATATGCATTGGTAATTCACTCTTTATAAGGAGAACTAACCTGTTGGCATATATTCCCACCAACGTCCCGCACAAAGATCAACCATCTTCACAACACGTAAATACAGTGTTACAGCTTCTTTTAATTTGCGGGAGAGACATTCCATGCACATGATGTCTTGCAAAGGGAGGTACCTGCATAGAGAGCACATTATATGTATTAAGTTATTTTATAAACCTCATTGTTTTACGATGTTAAGCTAGTAACCGATTTTTTTCCTGAATACCGGTATATCATACGTGCAATTCTTTCAAACTGATTAGTTCATGTTAGAATAAAAATATTTATGAGGCTATGAAGCTTGTTTCAGCAGAATATGCACTAAAATATAACTAGCCATAATGCTTCTCAAGTACAAGGAAAACTAGTAGGTCTATAAATAATAGTGATAGGAATTAACAGGACAACACAAGTGGCCACTCTCAGAACTAATGAACAGGGCCTTTAAACAGAATGTATTTCTAAATTATAAAGATCATGTAATTAACACACATCTAAAGCCAAACATGTAGTAAATAATATTGTAACCATAATAAAGCTTTCCTAACAACCATATGATACATAAAGCAGTGTTAAAGACAAGCATAAACATTTTATAAAATATGGTTTGTATAATTACGTCATGCAGCTTGCCATGCATGTCTTTTTAGCCAACATAACTTTTTAAATGCCTATTGGGAATTATTCACTTGGCCAACACCATGCCCAGTCAGCAGTCATTGCTTCCCTTCCCGTGGTCCAATTAAATGTTTTGCGTAGAGAAGCATTTGATTGGTCTGTTCTCACTAGTTCAGAGTGCATGCATGCAATCTGAGCCAGGAGTGTGCGGTAGGAAGGAAGAAAGAATGAAAAAAATAAATAAATAAAAAATCTAAACATGTTAAGGATGTAGGTATGCTGAAATAAGGAAGGGAGGGGACATATTAGATTCCCCTTGCAGGTGCACTCCCAGCGCTGCCTGCCAGGGTAGAAGCCAATTAAGTCTAGCATCAGTGCATAGTGCACACAGACAACTGACATAATTCTTGCACAGACTTAACATTAGGAAGCTCTGTGCCGGGGAAGTCACTAGCCTCCTGCATAAAACTGCCAATATCTCTGACTGTGCAGAAATTATGCACATATATATTATTTGCTCCATGACCACTTCTAAAGGCAGAATCATGGTTGTTCCCTGTTATGCAGAGTTGCCCAGCCCCCTACACCCAGTCTTACAATATAAAATAAATTTAAAGGGACATTATAGACACCCAGACCACTTCATCTCATTGAAGTGGTCTGTAGTGGTTATGGTGTTTGTTTTTTGCTGGAAGTGTCAAAAAGACAACAAAAAACAGGCGATAGAACAGGTACAAAGATTTCATCCTGACAACATGCTTTTCCATTTCTGAACTGCCCCATTGGCGAGTTATACAAATAACAATAAAACCCTAGTAAAAACAAACAAACAATGCACCAAGGAATGTGGCCCCAGCCTTTTGGAATTTAAGCAATACCTCCCATTGAGTCAACCTCTATTTATAAAAATAAAATTAAAAAATAAATTTAAAAAAAGTATGTTTTTTACTTGATCTTGTGGATCTCCTACACACCATAGAGACCATGAACTATATAGTGGAATAGAAAATAAGGAAAACAAGACAATCTATGGCCACAGTACAGTCATAGAACTGCTAGTTCCTCTTGGGTAAGCTTTGGAATACAGGTGTTATACAAGAAGTTTGTGTCAAACTAACCTTCTTTCACTTAGGAAACACATGGCACAAGGTTCCCCATCTCCCATCATACTTACTTAAAAATGTGACAAAGGACTTCATGAGACAGCTGGTTCATATAATCTTTAGGATCACTGTCTTTGTCATGTTCAGAACCTTCCATACTGGTTCTGCACGGCTTTACCGATTTCCGTCGAGGACCCATAGTTGTTCAAGAAAACAATCAGATCCTGACAACAAAAAGCAATCATAACTAGATTCAATTCCTAACACACTGATAAAACAGGATTTATTCACATGAAAGTCAGCTGTGACATTGTGCAGTGATTTACAGATTGTTAGTGTCTTCACATGCATATCATAATCACAATTTGGAAACATTTATCAAACTTATTTTATGAAGGGCTTAAAACAGCTATTTGAAAAGCAAGTGTAGTTAGAGGAGTACTCCAGGCATCATAATATCTACTCTGACCTACTCTAACCAAGGATTTGAAAACTTGCACACAACTGACAGAAGAAGCGATATAGGCATCCTGGGAGGATAGGGTTCTGGCACCATTGCCACTACTTAGAGCATGTGCAGACTACAGTAACAGCTCCTTGTAGTGTGGCATTCACTTTAACCTCCCAAAAAGGACCACAGTTACAGTCAATGCATAAAGCTATGCAGGAGGGTAGTAAAACAAAGTACACAAACAGATTACACACAGACTACACTCAGCCAGCAAATAGCTCACATAAACACACACATTACACACAGCTGGCACATGTGCACATACACACAGAGGTAGAAGTAGAAACTATAGGTGAGGCAGACAATAATAGTCAACAATGTTGTGATGATAGCAAGGTTGAAGAATTTTTCCAGATCAGCTTTTTTTTTGTCTCTGTTTTTCTATACAGATGTCATCACAAAAATGTTGAGTTCAGTGGATAATAACCCTGCCAATGTCCAGGGCGAAATCTTAAATTATTTTATGTATCAGGACAGCTAGATTATCATGACAGGTAAGTAGATGGGCTTTAGTACCTTTTGGACCAGTAGATTATTTTTTTTAACTTTACAGTTTAGTACATAACTGTAGTAATTATTTGTTGTAGAAAACAAGCTCAAAACAGTTTAATGCCGGGTTCAGAATATGCAGCAATAAATGTTCCTAAGAACATCTTCTGGAGGTGTGTAAACCGTCCAATCTAAATAACAACATGTAAACAACAACAACAACAAAAAAGTTAAAGAAAAGGATTCAAATCTTTTTGATGGGCATTTTGTCCTTCATGTACAAATTCTCGTAATAAAATACCACAACTTATTATAGATTAGTTCTCAATCATGTGGCTAATTAAACAATAAATCAGCCTATTAACAGGTATTCATAAAAAAAAAAAAAAAAGGTAATTTCACAATTTAAATTTTTCATTCAGTAAATGAATGACACTAATTAAACCCCAAATAACTTATCTACACATATTAAACTAGTATTATACAGCTGGTATTCATAGCATAGGCTCCAGAGAGCCTGATAGGAAGGGACAGAAGAATAGCTGGTGACAGTCACTTATCACATTATAAATTTCAGATAACAATAAAGCAGGCTTCCAGTGTCAGTTATCATTCATATTCGTGGCATTCCCTAATTAATTAATAATTAATTAATGTGTATAGGTCCGCCAGCCCCTTACCAAACAGCCACCGGCCCGGTTAGTATCTGTTACTGGAAGCAACTACTTCCCATCCAGCTAAAGGCCCCTCTGATGTCACGGCAGTCACGTGACGTGTACTGGGTCACATGATTCGAGCTGGGTACCGGAAGTAGAGGGTGGGAGAGCCTCAGAATCACTGGGAATGTGCTATGTGTGCGGGAGCCGTGTAGCCAGTGCTCATCCAGCCGGAGGATCGGTGATGGCGACACGGTCACGTGGTTACAGGTTGAAACCAGGAAGTAGAGGGCGGGAACATTAAATCAAATGGGAATGTGTTTTGTCTACTTGTTGAGCTTTCCCTGCTCAGAGCAGGTTTTATTATCAGTCATACTCCTCCCGGGTTACGGGAATCGCTCTATAGGCAAAGAGTAGGCTGGTGGAGGTGGATAATGTATCACTGAATGATTGGGGAAAACAAGGATTATTTCTCATCTCCTGGGTTGCTGATGAAAACCAGAGACCTTGGAAAGGGATAGGCCAGGGGTGCCCAAATGGTAGATCCTAAGATGTTTTAAAACTACAGCTTTCTTGATGCTTTGTCATTCTAAAGCAGGCTTCCCCAAAATCCAGCCCTCCAGATGTTGATGAACTACAACTCCCATGATTCCCCCGCCTACCTATTTCCATTCACAGATTGATGGGAGTTGTAGTTCAGCAACATCTGGAGGGCCGGAGTTTGGGGAAGCCTGTTCTAAAGCATTCTAAAAGCATAGTGGGAGTTGTAATTCTACAACATCTGGGAAATCTACCTTTTTTTTTTATTCTAAGCAGATGTTTCTTAATTGGAAAGTAAAATGTTTCAAATTCAGCTGTTTTGGCCAAAAAAATAGGAACCCTGGCAACATACAGTTTTCCGAGGAGTTCTTTACATATGTGAAACTGCAGGGTTTATTTAAACAGTGAATTTGGTGTACTAAAAACTGGTTAAACTAATTCATCCATTACTTTAGCTGTGTCTCTGAATTTGTTTAAATCAACTATCTTTTTTTCCCCTTCACTTTTGCTATTTTGTTTTCAGTTCACGGTTTAGTTAGTGAAGCATTTTAACTTTGAGAAAGAAACCTGTCTGTGTTCACATTTTAAAGGGATACTCCAAGCGCCATGACCTGTTCAGTGATTTGAAGTAGTTGTGGTGCCTGGAGTCTATGTGCAGCGTGTCGCTATGAAACGCTGCACATACAGAGTATAAATAGACAAAAAATACCTTATTGAACCAAAGTTGCCCATAGGTCACTGAGGTTTAGGGTCCATGAAATTGGATGTATCTGTAACAAAACAAGATGAAAATGGTCTGTATTACACCTGGATTAATCAGATATGTGCTTGTGATAATACATATACAAATGGTATCTTTCACTCTCAGCAGGGTGGACTAAAAAATTGTATTTAATGAGCTCTCCAAGGAAATCTATATGTCTAATGAATAGCATGCATACAACATTGCATATCAAATCCAAGATACCATTGGAGATGTAAGGAAAAACACCTATCTATGGTGTAGACCAGGGGTTCCCAACCCAGTCCTCAAGTACCCCCTACCTTCTAAACCTTTCACGGTCTCTAACACAATATCCGCGAGAAAACCTTTCACGGTCTCTAACACAATATCCGCGAGAAATAGATATCTGCCTACTACTTAAAACACCTAAAATCTGAGAGGCAAGAAAAAGATAATAAATCTCTATAAACAGAGAAAATAAACATAAATATAATAATTAAGGCAGGAATATATAGCAGAAAGAGGAGTATAGGTAGGACCTACCGTATATACTCGAGTATAAGCCGACCCGAATATAAGTCGGGGCACCTAATTTTACCACGAAAAACTGGGAAAGCTTATTGACTCGAGTATAAGCCTTGGGTGGGAAATGCAGCAGCTACTGGTAAATTTCTAAATAAAATTAGATCCCAATAAAATTACATTAATTGAATATTTATTTACAGTGTGTGTATGTAATGAATGCAGTGTGTGTGTGTGTGTGTTTGTGTATTGTGTATATAATGAATGCAGAGTGTGTGTGTGTGTTTGTGTAGTGTGTGTGTTATTGTGGCATTATAGCTAGGTAATTTTCCTAGAGAAGTAAATTTCCCCATGTAACTTTGTCCCAAATGTGAACTCTTGCCCTGGATTGTTCCAAAATGCGAAAGGATAATTATAATTTTTTTAAATTTTTTTTTATGGTGAGGAAAAATGATTTTAATAATCTAGTGGGTTGGTTGCTGAATTAAGAATTACGACATCCAAAGATAGAGCCAGCTCTTGCATTTGCTGTGACCACCACTTTCTGATTTCTCTGAATTTCGCTGTCTCTTTTGCCAGTACATAGCTTCCAATTTGTGCAGCAAATGATATCCAATGGATGGACAAGGTTTCTTAGAATTTTTTTTTTTTTTGTCTCCCCTCCCTGCTTGTTACCTGGCCAGGGAGGGGGGCTATTGCATTCCCTGGTGGTCCAGTGGTATGTACTGAGCAATGGGGGGTGGGGGAGAGGCGGCAGCAAGCACTTACTTACCTTCCCAGTAGCTCCCTTCAGCTCCCCTGTGTAAATCACGCTGTCTGCGTGCCGCGTGGAGCGTTGCCACTGTAACCTGTGGCAACGCTCTGCCGCCGTGGGACTCGCAAGATTTATACAGGGAGATGAAGGGAGCTGCTGGGAAGGTATGTAAGCGATTGCTGCCGCCCCCCCCCGGACCGCCGGGCTTGTAATGAGCCCAGCGGTCCTGGTCTGTATTATGGCAATGTAAGTACTTGAGTACTATCAGGATTACTGTATGATCCGGCACGTAGAACTGTATAGCCTGAATGACAAATAAGTAACGTATTACCGGTCCTTAGAATGGCTGGATTTAACGTACATAGAATAGTCAAAATAATAGCCGAGGTCAGGGAACACAGAAAGGGACGAAACGATGAGGAAAGCCAGGAGTCAGGATACCAGAATACAGAGTCCATAAGCAAAGTAAAAAAAAGTAGAAAACTATAAACAGGAACGCGCTCTCGGACAACCACATGGGAAACCACGACAGGGCACTGAGTGGAGGTCAGACTAGGTTTTTACATCCATCCTCCCTTTCCCATTGGTCAGCCCTGTATTTCTCCCTCCTCAATTCCCCTCCCCACCTTTTTCCCCCCCCTTTTTTTTTTTAAATGTTTTAACCTTCCTTATATCAATGCCCAGTGGGAAGGCTGAGCTAGGTATCCCACTTACTATAGCCCACTATAACAGACAGGCACACATACATACAGACATACAGACATACACACACAAGACACACATACAGACAGACAGGAACACATACAGACACACACACAAGATACATACAAACAGACATGCACACATACATACAGACACACACATAAGACATACATACAAAGACACATACAGACAGACACAAGACACACATACATAAAAAGACACATACACACAACACATACAAAGATAAGAAACACATACATACAAAGATAAAACACGCATACATACACACATATATACAGACAGACACACACACACATACATAAGACACGCATACATACAGACAGACACACACAAAATATTTTAGTCACCCTCCTGTTTCCTACCTTTTAGGTGCAGGAGGGTGACATTCCCTGGGGTCCAGTGGTGGCTCAGGTGGATAGGAGTCAGAGTTCTCACTCTGACTCCCTGGTCTTCCTCCCGCGCGGCTCCCAGTGTTAGCTGGGAGGAGTGACGTGCAGTCACTTCCTCCCAGCTCTGTGATGTAATCACAGGGGGCCCGGTCGCGCTGTTAAAGCACCCAGCGCTGATCGGGCCCCCTCACAATCCACATCCATCGGGTGGCCCTGACAGCTTGGGCCACCCGATAGACCCCTCCATATGTGGCGCCGGGGCCGCAAGTGGTGATGGCGGTAGCCGGTCGCAGGGGTACCGCCGGCTCGCACCCGCCCAGTCTCTCAAAATTAGAAAATCCCTACTGCCCACCTGGAATCCTGAAACGCCCACTAGTGGGCGGTAGGGACCAGGTTGACGACCCATGCCTTAAACCATTCTTCTGGATTGAATTCCATCTGCAGCATTTTACCCAATTTATCCCTGATTTCTTGAGGATTACTATATTTTAAACAACTATAGGCTTTAGACATTTTTGTTAAAAAAAACAACAACAAAAACCCGACCTCAATGAGAGAAAACACTCACTGAGTCCATATTAGTTGCGGAATAATTAAAGGCGGGTAACACCAGATTAATATCAGAAGAAAATCGGAACAAGCCTTCCAAAAAGAAAAGCCTAGAACCGATACAATTACTCACAGAATTGGAAAATTACCAATTGAACAATATAGGGATAAATGTTAAAAAAGATCTGGTTATTAGTTAAAATGGTACTGCTTTATTAGATCCCACGTAGGGAAAACACACTCACTCAGGTGAAAATAACAAAAATGTGAAAAAACATGTGAAATGAAAAATCATTAAAATTGGTTAAATACAAAGAATGTTTATAGATTAGGAACTGACAAATCTCTATCTAGGCTTATACTCACAACCCTGTGCCAAATGACAATATTGCAAAACCTCGTAGCACACTTATTTATTGAAATAAAGTGCACATACCATAGTATTATTGCAATTTAGATGTCTACAGATGTTATTAAAAGGTTGTTATATATCATGATACGAGGTGCAGAGTTAGAGCTTTAATAAAAAAATATATATAGACCAGAGGCAAAATTAGCTATGTGCTTAGATAGGGGGGTAATATATTTCTGAGATAGAAGGGAGGATGAAAACTGTTAACAATTAGAGAACCACCTAAATGGTAGCTATAGTGTCCCTATATTAAGAGAAGAGGGACATGCAAATTAAGGAATACCTGGAGAAATAGACTGCAGTAGCCCCCAAGTCAAAATAGAAAGTGTGACTGGGGAAACTAACAGCTTAGTAAGAAAATCCCTAGTAAGGTAAACATGTAGACTAGATACAAGGATTAGCCATATGCTTGATTAAAGAGGTAAATAACTAATAGACCTACAAGATTAGAAGTAGGGATGAAAACTGGAACAATTAAAAGATCACCTACATGGTAGCCATAATGTTCCTATATAGATGAAAAAGACATGCAGATTCAGGAATACCTTGGGAGATAAACTGCAGTGACCCACAAGTTAAACTAGATAATATAACTGGGGAAACTAGCAGTATAGTTAAATAATCACTATTAAGGTATTGACCTAAAATTCCCAAAGGAAATAAATGGCGCTTCAATATATGTGATGAAGAGCCTTTAGTTAAGTGTCAGCTGGATCTTATATCAAAGATTGATCATTTGGTATCTAGCAAGATGCTATAACGGATCCTGGATGTAGTTAAAAAATATATATGTCTCAACCTCTGGTTGGAATGGTAAAGACTGAAATAAGAACCCAAACGGATTCACCCCTAAAGAAAATACACTCCTGGTCTATTAAAGCCCTAGTCTATTACAGCACAGGCACCACGAGTCTAGGTATCTGCTGTTATAAACCTTAGATGATCACAGGAGAAAGTCACTACCTTGAACTGAAAACGGAACCCAGATGGATTAACCCCCAAGGTAAGTAAGTTCTCGGTCTATAATAGCCCCAGGCTGCTGCTTCGAGGCAGCCCCTGATCTAGAAATCCACTAGTATGGTATATTATAGTAAAATCCTTAATGATCACAGAGGATTATCCCAGCCTCAGAACCAAACCTGGCAAAGCCATTGGTTAAATTAACAGGGTAGTAAAAGTCAGCATTTAAAGGTAAGCACCTAGCATTCTAAGTATTTAGCCAAAGTATTTAAAAATAAAAGCGTCTGCTCAACGCACATTTCGGCGCTTCCATGCGCCTTTGTCAAGTGAAGTGTGTTTGTCTTGCTTTTATAAAGGGTAAGTTAACTCC